ATGAACTAGTTCAGTTCATAGTTCATAATTCAAAATTTTGAACTAAGTTCACAGTTCCAAAAAATTAACCAGTTCATAGTTCTTTTTTTTTTTCATATATTGCTCAATTATACCATAGCCTACTGTAGAACCACAGACAGCAATTATTTTATCAGTTGTAACACTGAAACTGTGCGTCAGATTTCATCTTCATATCCAGTTTTGAATCCTTATCCAACCAGGGTTTACATTAGCATTGAGGAGACAGCATTTCCCCATTGTTGCTTTAATGCTTTGTTGCTGTCCATTCACTTCACACTAGTAGCAGCTGCAGCTTTCACCCCTACAGTATATTCTCAAAAACATCAGGAAAAATGTGCTTCTTGAATGGTCTTTTCTATGAGGAATTATTAAAAGAAAAACAGGAAAGTAGTCTTTAAGGTGCAAATGTTTTTTTTATTTTAATAATTTTTTCCATTTGAAATTCCATTTCAGTACATACTAAAAAGGAATACTGGAATCCTGGAAAATTATACCAGGCAGGTTTAACAAACAAGTTACATGAATAGTAAAACCCTCAAGAACATTTTACTAACAGAAACTGAGGGACCAGGCTGAGGTAGGAATTCAAGGTTACTGAAGTGCAGATTTTTTTTACTGAAAGCCGGCGGTCAAAGTTTGCAGAGAAATGTAAGATTGTTGCCATCATCCTCACCGACCACCTGGTCATAAAACTGTTTTAAGTGATCATACTGCTGCTTTGTCGCATCCACAGTCGCCTCCATGCTGCTCTGGCTTCCCCGCTGCATTTTGTTTTGATGACGCACGCGGCTGTAGGCTACGACACTGGTAGCTGGTGTTGCCAGATTGGGTGTTTTTCCCGCTACATATCAAGCCCTGTTTACGGTGTGATTTAGCCGGGGTTTCGCCTGGAGGGCTCTATCGAAATTTGGCAACCTATTGAACGGAGTTGAACTGAGAGAGCGTGCCGTTCACAGACACCAGAATGAACGAGTTCACAATAACGTTCATCAGGCAGTAATACAGTACGTTCAGTTCACGTTCACCCAAAATATGAACGAGTTCATGAACTTTCGTTCAATGAACGCGTTCAGGCACAACACTGTCCCTAGGTTTGACAGGAGAAAAACATGACTAAGACATTGTTGATGGAGAAGACTTATTGTTTATAAGGAATGTTATTTCTGTCCTGGGTAGTAAATTAGAATGATTGAAGGTAATTTACAGTAAGTTTCTTACTTTTTGCCCCTTTAACTCATGGACCCAAAGAAGAATAGGGACTGCATGGCTGCACTTCAAAAACCAAAAAGTGTTTTTAACCTAAATATTGGCGTTATTATATACATCCAACATCTGTGTCTGTTTTTCATAGCAGCTGTCGGAAAAGTTATATTTCTTCCTGTTGATAGCATCTTTATTATTTAGTTAAAGTCTAAATTCCAATTAGCACTTCTGAATTTCTCCCCAGTACTGCGATCCTCTGATGCATGTAAACCAATCCCAGATTTACTTTGATTTTTAATATCTGTATATGTCTAAAGAAAAATTAATTGTGAGCAAATTAGGGGTTTAACACTGAGCAGCTTTATTTACAACTTTGTCATTTGTCACATTCACTTGCTAAGTGAGACATTGCTGGCTCAATAGTCTGAAGGAGCTTTTGTAAATGTTACTTGATGCAAGTTGGAGGCTGGAGCACCATGTTCTCAAAGCAAGCTGCCTCCACCATCCAGGCTTGGATCAGAATCTCCTCTTCTCTCTAGTAGAAATAAGAATATAGAGGTACCACAGGCAGACTGTTGGCTCGCTGTGCCTCAAGATGTTCTTAATCAGCTGCCAGTATCATAAATCATCTCCCAGGCATCCCAGAGATGTCTCTCAACCGTTAAATCCATGAGCTTTACTCGCTACCACAAGTTTACATTCAGAACAAGCATCCAAAAAGCATGAAATGCAATAGCAAACAGGAAAATGTATAGAAGGAATCCTTGTATGTTTTTAGATCTGATACAGTGAATATACACCCTGGAGGGGGTATGCAATCCCTTATTTGCATATCCAACCAATAGGACTGGGTGCCACACCCTATGGTGTGTGTATACGTTGAAACAAAACCATGTCAGACCCCAACTTACAAATCAGGAAAAGTCAGTGTTTGATTCTCGGGTATTTCGAAAAGTGAGGTTTGCTCATCTCTAAATCAAAATATGCGATGTTCAGTCTTGTCAGACCTCAAGCAGAATTGCACTCTGACAATAAATTCTTAACATATTATTTCAGGCTCTTAAACCCTTAATCCGTGTTAAAAATAACTACAACCATCATTATTCTACCTTAATTCTTCCCTCTATTTCTGTTTACTAACCCCTTGATTACTGAATGTGTATATGTATGCATATATAAAGAAATTGTTTTTAACTTTAAGCAGTTGCCCGGTTCAGTTACTGAGTATTGCAAAAAATAAAAATGAAAACAAAATGTAGGTATATTGCAAATTTGTAGCAATAGTTTTAATTGTTCTTGATAACATAATAAGGTTTGTAGGTCTACTCTGATTGTGTAATATTTCTTGGCCGTTTGTTGCATATTTAAAGCCGTAGGCATCAAAAGTTAACAGCTGAAAGATTTTGTCACAAAAACAACATTGCTTTGACGAACTTGAAAGCTGGCCTGCCCATTATTGCAGGATTTTACTGTTACTGTTGTGTATTAATTCAATTTTTTTCAATTCAGTTTATTTATATAGCGCCAAATTCACAACACATGTCATCTCAAGGCACTTTACAGTTCAACCAGATCATACAGTCAAAGTCCTTACTTTTTGCATGTATGAATCAGGGGTGAGAAATTTGGTTTCTTACTCTTAAATTTATTGTGACTCAAACTCAATTCCTCTATGATTTGAAAATTTGGTTTTGTTAAACTGCAATTCTATTGCAAATGTTAGTAATTGCCTAGCAATATCAAGAAGTTAATAGAGCACTTTCCTTCAGCAAAGAAAGGTGGTAGGATAAGACAAATAGGAAAAGCACGACCTGTGACGTGGTCACAGCTGGACTACATTGTGCTACATTAATTATGGATGCCTTGAAAAAACTGATCTGTCAGCAAATATGAGATTTCTTTAAAATATTGAAATTAGTTCATTAGTTGGTTCAAAGATCAGCCTAATTTAGTTCTTAAAGTTGTGTTATGCCTAGTGTTGTGTTAGTTGGGCTTTTTTGTTTGTTTGGCTTATGTATGCTACAACAGCCATCAGTAGCTTACAGTATACCCATTATATGCTGCCATTTCCTGATGAACTTGTTGAAGACTGATGTTTTAGACAGTAAGATTCTTAAGGAGGATACTTTTTCAGCAATTACCCTTCTAAATTCCCAATAAAAACAATTTTCTCATTATTCTCAGCATAAAATGTCATGTTTTTATGCAGTAAAATAATGCCTCCCCCCCAACAGGCTGCAAAGTCCCTTTGTTAAAGTAAAGATATCCATTAATAGAAACAGCCATTAGAAGATGCACAGGAATACATCATCTTTGGGAGAGTGCTGGACATGATTGAAGACAACGCTGACTGTTTTTCTGAAATTTGGATCAATACTAGCTGAAGCATCAAGCTGCTACATGGCTACTTTTCCCTTGCTGTTATTCACAAATCCACTTCATAGTTTCCCATCTGTTCTACTCCTGTACGCCTCTGCTCCTGCTGGTGTTCCTTTTCTCCAGTTCTGCTTATAAAAAAATTTAGTCATAATTAGGGCTGGTTAAAATAATCGATTTAATCGATTTTGGATCGATTCCTTTACGTCTTTGCAAAATCAATGTGTAGGGAATGAGATCGATTAGTTTGATAGTGACGCACGTGACGTTCACATTCAAATGCAGACCGAGTAACACACCGCTCAGTAAGCTGTTCCAACTGAAGTCTGACGTCTGGAACCATTTTGGATTTAAAACAGCTAAAGATAATGTGCTGGATATGTGACATTAAGGTGGCTTCCCTCTACACTGATAATGAGCTGTGCCTTGCATCTCGTGCTACAGACCACCACGATGACTGACAGCTGCAACTATAGCCAATAGGTTGACTGAAGACATTAACAAATGGGGGCTGACCAGCAAACACCTTGTAGTTGTTACAGACAACGCTGCAAGTATGGTTTGTGCAGAGGAGATAATGCAGCTAATGCATGTCTGCTGTGTCCCTGCTGTGTCACGTCTGCTTGCTCATGTGAAGCTTCACTTTTTCACTTTTCACAAACAATTTTGCACTTTTGAGACAGTTCTTTTCACATCTCAAGTTTAAGCTGTCTGCTTTACAATTTTCCACTTGATGTTTAATAACAGGAAAAATCAGATCGAATCAAAATAAATCGATTTAGAACTGCAGAATCAAAATCGAATCGATTCAGGACTTTGGCCAAAATACCCAGCCCTACTCATAATTTAAACAAACTTTCCATCATTTTTAATTTCTTTTATAATTTTTCATATTACCTGTTTCCAAAAATGTATATTTAAATATTTATTTTCTAATTATCTGTAAATGTCTGTATTGTAAATATATATTTTTCTAATCCTGTTTTACTTTGTTAATGTTTTATTTACAAAGTGAGATAAAAGTTCAGAGCTCCTCCTCAATTTACTTTTTTTTTTATGTACCGGTAGTTGTTACGCTTTGTTTACAAGCTTTCCCTCCTTAAACTTCATCTACTGTTAAATTAATTGCAGAGGAAAACAGACTTACGTATGGATTTTCTATTAAACAAAACAAAAATAATTTGGGATTGTGGGGCCAAACATCAATTATATTTTTTAAATGAGGATCTGGACTAGAGAGATATGCTGATTCTGTTGGAAAACGTGACTTCCTTTGCAAATCATTTGCTTTTACTGGAAAGTTCACATGAAGTATTGAGGTTTTGGTTTTCATTTTTCTCAAACAAGTTTTCCACTTTGAGTGGTTGCAGTTAAATTCACGTATTGGTTTCTCTTTGCAGAGAAGCTGATAGCATACCAACGGGAGTTCCATGCTTTGAAAGAGAGGCTTCGAGTTGCAGAGCACAGGACTCTGCAGCGTTCGTCTGAGCTCAACCACATTCTGGAGCAGTTCAGACGGGCCATCGCTGAAACCAACAGCAGCAAAGATGCACTAACAAACTTTTCAGGTAATCAACACCTGTGTCTCATATGTATATGCATATGTGTGTGTGTGTGTGTGTATATATATATATATATATATATATATATATATATATATATATATATATATATATATATATATATATATATATTAGTGCTGTCAATCGATTAAATTTTTTTAATCGCATCAATGCCTGAGTTAACTCGCGATTAATCGCATTTTAATCGCACATTTTTTTCCTGATTGAAAATCATTTAAATACTCTCGATGACATACAAAAAAATACATACAGGCTAGGTTTGTGCCAATGTTCTTTTTTTAAAATGAAAACAGGTCACAGATACTGATTTATGCCAAAAATAACAAATACGTAGGCAAAAAAAAGGCCCTGAAAACAGGCTGATGTAAAAGACTTTACAGTTAATACAGTCTTTTGAACAAAGACAAGCATTTTACCCTACTGCTATAAAATGTAGTAGAGTTAACATTAGATGTTAATTAACCAAGGTAATAATGAACAATTTTCAATCAATACATCAAAATCAATAGACCGACATCACTAGATGGAGGTAGTCTATACTCTAGAAAGTTACTTTTCAGCCTCTTAACAAAAATGAGAACACACACACACCCACTCACCCACACACACACACACACACACACACACACACACACACACGATACCGACCTGTTGCGTACACAGACGGCAAGAGTGCCGTAGCAGATTCCATTTCACCTCAGTAATCTGTTTTCTCAGCGTATTTCAGGTTGCTACTAGTTACCAGACACTCAACTTGTTTGTTGGTGGTGTGGCTTAAAGAAAAGGCACTAGCGCTACCCAGTGTATGAGCGTCTTTTTCCCTTGAGGAGCTCCGCTCTGGAAGCCTATGAGAAATGCATACACTGGGGGAAATAGCCCCGCCTTCCCGCAGGCTGCAGCGGGATGTACTTGGAAAATTGTACCATAAAACCACATAGCGTTAATCTCACGTTAAAAAAATTATCGCCGTTAAAATGGCCTCGCGTTAACGCGATAATAACGCGATAATTTTGACAGCACTAATATATATAAAAAGATTGACCGATACAGGTTTTGTTTAAGGCAGATACCGATAAGCAGATTCTTAGAGCCAATATGGAATTTTCGTCCTCTATTTACATTATGAAAAAATAATACAATGACAATAACAAATGTTACACAGGTATTAATTTACATAACAACAGAAACATTAACTAACAATCAAAATAAACATAAACAATGGATGGAAAATGGTGGAAGCAGCAAGGCATGAGCTATATATGATCCTAAGGCGTGGTTGCAGCTTTCTGAAAGCAAACATTTCCTGCTGCCCAAAATCTTTGTTTACAAGAGTTTTTTTACACCCACATTCCAACCTTTTTCAACAGTTAAACACAAATCAAGAGCAGCAAATTAAATATCGCAATGAAATAATCTACAATTTTCTTTAATTTGCTTAAACTACCAGCTTTAAACTGCAGTTATCTCAAATTAAACTGTGTATTTTACTTTGTAACAGAATTCAATATTGCTATCAATTGAAAAAAAAAGTTAAATTAAAAAGAAAAAATCTCCAACTGCCATTTTTCTCAAATATTTTTTATAATTTTTAAACAGTGGCACTTCACCACATCTAACACTGCAATAGTGAAACAGCCAATGCATGCATATATCAGCCAGTGCCATACGAGAAAAAAAAAAGAACTTAATATTGGTTAGTTTTGCCCCTGTGACAAATTTGCTTAATATAAACGCTTAAAATGCAAAAAATCAAACAGCTTTGTTTTAAAGATTGTATCACAATCTGACTTATCAGAGTTTGAAGGTTTTGCTGGTTTACTTGGGTTTAATAATTTTTAAAGAGTTAAATTTCTATGTATTATTTGTATTTTGTTTTTTCATTTCATTGTTAGAAATAAAAAGCCATAAACCTCACCGACGTCCATGTCTTCAGACAAGTAACTCGTCATCCATCAGATTAGCAGGGGGAAAAATGTTATTTCTCCCCACAAAGAATGCTGCCACTCTGCTCTAGAGTCTATTGGCGACGTGATTTATACCTCTGCATCAGACACTTTGCATTGTACTTAGTGAATCCAGCTCTTCAACCATGGAAACCCATTCCATGAAACCCTGTACCAATGTTCCAGAGCTAATCTGAAGGCCACATTACCCCATGCACCTTTTCCTCCTTTTGGCACTTTCTTCTTCTTTTTGACTATTTGAGCCGATGTTACGAGTAAATTTCACCTCTGTGAGATCAATAAAATCCAATCAATTGGAGATCTATGAGTCACGGCAGAAAGTTGCCAACCTCTGCAAACTAGTGTGCAGTGAATTATATCTAAATATTTTCTAATAGCATTATCAAAAAAATTCCAAAACAGAAATTGGATATTGAGATTGTTAAAACCTGTTTTTTATTTTTTTTGTTTTTTCCTGTTAATCTGCAGAAAAAACAACAAATAAATAATAAAAATAAGAAATACCTCTCTACTGCATACTTTTATTTTGGAAGCAATCTTAAAACTGCCATCTTATTTCTTGTTCTTATAAACAGATGTATTTTTTTTTTTGGTACGCAGTCAACATAATACAGTAAAGTGTTCTGACTAACTGAGCTAACTATAGTACTCCCCAGTACTGCGATTAAAGTATTACTACAAATCCATATTGCTTCTAAATTCTTTAGAAATCATGTGATAGAAGGTAGCTGATGCTGCTAGTTTCTTTCCAAAACACTCCAAGACACTCAGCAGCTGCTTCTTACAGATCAGCGACATATGAGAGGAGAAAATTCACCAGTAAAAAAAGCACAGGAAACTAATCTTAAAATATAGTGGGCAAAATATGATTTAAATGTATTTGGGCATTGAAAAAATTAATAAATAAAAAAAGAAAAGGGAAAATAAAACTGCAAAAAGTTTACTTGAATTTCTATAAACATGGAAAAAATTGTGTTTATGGCTGAAAATTAAGGTTTAGAAATGAAATAAGCATTAAAGGGCAGAGATTCATTAAAACAGTTAAAAAATGGGAATGTTCTTCATTCATTCATTCATTAATTCATTCTAAATCATTGATTAAATGTCTTTTTTTATTTTGTTGCATGTAGGAGCACACTAATTGTGTCAATATAGGAAAATACTCATTAAACTATTTTGTTTTCATATTTTGAAAAATAAAAAACAACATTTAAATGTCATACAAATGTAGAATATTAGAAATTACCAAATGTTATGATTTACCACAAAGATGAATATTACTAGCAGCTTTTTGATAGGATCTAGCTTTCAACTGAAGTTTACTGGCCTGATCGAAGTGATGTCTGGTTTTAATGCAATATCTGCCTAAACAATAAGGCCATGTTCACATAGATCTGCTCCAGTGATTCATAGCTCTAGAAATAGCTCACTGTAAGCTTTCTTGTATGGATCTCTTTTCAGATGAGACTCAGAAGCTACTGAAGGAGCTCACAAACAGGAAACCTCTCCAGGTGCCAAACATCTACCACCACCTGCCTCACCTCCTGAACAATGAGGGCAGCCTGCAGCCAGCAGTGCAAGTCGGTCTTGGTCGCACTGGAGGTGAGAAGTTTATATATTTCCTTTTCCTCTGAATTTTACATGATTAACCACAAAGTAAAAGTTATTACTCAGTCATCCTTATTACTCCACGGAGAAGCTCAAGTCTCAACATGTCTTCAGACTGTTACTTGTTTACAAATATCCTTTCTGGATTTCCCAGAGAGGATAGCTTTCCCCAAAGGTATTTTTGCATAAGATATTGTTTTCCCCTTTCCTTCAGTCTCCTCTGTGATGTTCTCTTTGAAAGGCATTGCAACAAAACTTTACACTGGTAACTGGACAGTGAAAAATAAAAAGTTCAATTTTATAACACCATGAACCCTCCTATGAATTATCCTCTTTATCCTCCTCCTTACTTTATGATTTTTATGAGCTTAAAGTTCTGCACAATGTGTGTCTTCTCCCAGATGATGGGATACTTTCAGCCTGTTGGCTGCTGATTTAATTTCTTTTATCCTGTAAGCTGCACCATACTGCATGTGACCTTTCCTCCTTTTAGCTCCTATTAGGAAGATTTCTTATCTTCTTTTTGTGCTTTATATGTGCAGAAAATTTAAGCTTGATAGAAAGTAAGCCTGAGGTTTAAGCTGTTTTAATGAACCTGTCCCACTTTAAGTGATTAGAACTGACAAAAAAAAAAAAACAGGGGCTCTAAAAAAAGGCAGCAAACACCAAGAGTGGCAAATCAGGAGCACGAAAAAAATATTGACATTTTTTCCAGTTAGTAAAGAAATGCTACCTTTTGATTTAGTGTTCAGGTATGGCTTTAGAGCAGGAATCTGAGTTGCCATTAAGGGTTATCTTGAAAAACATCTAGGAATGTGTTTTCTTACTTGTCTGAAGAGATGCATAGAGGTAAAAGACTATGCCTACTCAGACAATGCAGCTTTTTGCATCAGTGCCAAGAGGTGTCCTCTGCGAATCATGCTCTATTTGGTTTATTGTAATGTACAAAGTGGAGATATTAATCCTGGAAGTGATCCATGAATCGGTGAGTTACAGCAACCGCTGCCTGTACTTTTAAATCTTTTACCTATTGAGAATAGATACTGATGTGTGTTAATGGAATTATGTATATTAAGAAAACTTAAGTCTTTTTCCAGTATTTATGTTTCATGGTCTCAGTTTATTATGCAGCTTGGCCATTTAAACTATAATATTTGAATGATAAAAACAATCCTATGGGGATTTTATTTATCTACTTAATGATATTTTGTACTTTTGGACCTCCAGCTATGCCAGCAACACTGCATGCATGTTGTTTGTCACTGGCAACCCTTCAATTTCAGCACTTCCTGTTAAATTGCTTTAGCTCTGAGTCTAGCCTAACTTTGATTTCTTGTTTCAGTGCCAGTCTGAGCGTGTTTGGCACTGGGCTATTTATAGCTGCCAAATCAGGACATGTCAAACCGCAAATTAAACAATGCTTATGAAACAAGGCAGTTTAGGGGGAACTTTTGAGACTAATCTAGCTGGACTCGCATATCCCTGCTTAGATATATTCTCACTATTTAAAGAAAATGGTGGACTGAGAAGGTTGCCCCCTCCCACCACCACCATCCTTCAGTGTCTGCACTGGACAGCTTCCAGGACCATCATATCCTTATTACCTTTCCCTGGCTTCTCGCCTTCTCTCTCTTACATTTTCATTTAATATTAAGAACTCCAGATTTGATCCCTCCTTTGGTGAGAAGCCAACTTTGATCACAGGATCTCTGACACGGGTTCTGCTTGTAAACAGTATAGTAGTGGTATCAGCTGACATACCTCATATTTGCATTGGATGCTTCTTTGTTTTCTCATTTACATTTCCTGATTTAAGAGCCATGTGTTGTTTGGCTTGATATTTGATAACAACAGAGCAAGTCTTGCATTTCATAACTAGAGTGACTTTATTGTGTTGCAAAGCTGAACTGATATCAATGCTACGAGGTAACATAAAGCCATTCAAGTTGTCACAGAAAAAAGGGATCAAAACCTTACAGTACTAACCTCTGGTTTACAGCTTTGTAAACTGCATCAGAAAGTATGTTTTGTAATTTAAAAATCGAATATCTTGGCTTTATTATGGTGTACCTCAAATCTTTATGCATAATGCTTTTACAACATAGATGCCAATACAAACACACGTTAAAGGCTCTTCGGTTTGAAAAAGACACAACCAGTCTGATGGATCAGACCTAAAACAATGCAGCCACTACTGTGGAACCAGTCACAGCAAAGTATATAGTTTAGTAAAGTATTACACCTGCTTACCAACCTGGCTATGTAACTAACTCTCTAGGTCATGGGGGCTAGAGTCGACTCTGATCCTTAACCGGAATATTAGTAAAAATGTTATTATTATATTGACAAAAGTAACTTGTACTTTTTACCCACTATTTATTGTTTGCAGTTGTATTTAATGATAGTTTTTATTTTTTTCACATTCAATGTGTCTTCTTTTTTATACTAAGCAGAACCCATGGTGTCTTAGCTTGAGAATGAACCATTTTCAGTAACAGGGTTTCCACGGGTCGTTAAAAATCCTTAAAAGTCATTAAATAATATTTTTTTAATTAAGGCCTTAACTGGCATTAAAATTCATTAAAGGTCATTATCGTGGCATTTAAAATGCTTTATTTAGAAAAAAAAATCGTTTATAAAAACGATTTTGTCCGATGTACTATATCAGAAATAACTGGTTCCAAGTGTTTGCGCGGAAGTGCTTCTGGTTGATTGTAAAGCCGTATGTTAGGAAAAGAAGCTTGAGGCGGAGAAAAGGCTAGAGAATGTAAACTTCAACAAAAGTTACAGGCTGCAGCCTGTCGACGGTAAAGATGACAAAGGACTTGGACGTGTTTTCTTATATATAGATGTATATAAATATAAAAGAGTCATGGGTAGTCGTTGATGACATTAAAATAATTTCTAAGAGCATTAAAAGTGCATTAAATTACAGTTACTCATTCCTGTATAAACCCTGAGTAAATAGTTTAACCAAATTTAGCAAAAGACTGGAGACAATTTTAAATAACATCACTGTCTAGCATGACATATTACTTGGTTTCATTGATCTTAAAAAAGTGCAAAAAAAATGTATGTTGTTATACGTTTATTCCTTTTTCCCTCTGGAGGAATGAGAAGGACAGCCGAGTGCAGCAGGCAAACTGATCAAGGAATGAGGGGAGGTGCCGTCCTGCAGTCAGTCCTGCTGCACATGCATGCATTGTCCCTCAATCATGTTCTGCCATCCTCCTTTGCACTGTCACTCTTGTCTTTTTCTCCTTCCTCCCACTTTCTCCTTTCATCCTCGACCTACTTTCTTGGTGGTGGTGGGTGTCTCTATACAACATGGAGCTTGGTGTGAAAAGCACAATAGCAGAACTAGGACAGATTCTCCACACTGCACAGAGCACTCTAGAGGATTGCACCCCTTCTCGATCCGCTGTGCTGTTCACTCATGCTGTACCTCAGGTTTTGTTGCATGCATTTATTTGGCCCCCATGTGTCCCCTGAATCAGTGCAGTCAGCATGTTCCCCCTTTAACCCCTCCTCCTTCTGCTATATCATCCACACAAACATGCACTTTCTCACAGGGTCTTTTTTTCATTGTTATATCTTGTGATTGATATCTCACTAAAGCAGGAGGTGTCCAAAATGCTACCTGCTACTTATTCACAGTTAAAAAAAATTTTTTTTAAAGGTGACATTTTGTTTTCTTTTCTGTTATAAATTTCTGACTAAAAAGAGTCAAAAAAAAAAAAAACCCAGGAACCATTACCCAAAGGCAGAGAACAATCCTGGCAAAAACAACAAAAAGCCTTAACATAAATTTCTCTTTTACTGTTGTGGAAGAATATTAGACTGATAAATGGAAAAAAATCATTAATTTTATATTCACATATTGTTTTTTTTTATTTTTTATTTTTATCTTTTTACTAATGCCCACTATTGTTATAATTGTTTATCTCCTAGTGTGTGTTTAAGATATGCACAGTCTATCTCTATGGAAATCAGACTACTTTGCTTGTTTTAGAAAACATATCAGTTTTATTTTTAAAAAGTTTAATAAAAATTTGAAGTTAAGTATAAATCTATATTTTGTGGCACCATGAGTACGTCCAACTTGACATTCTCGGCCCAATAACAGGTTTTAACAGGTTTTACCCCTTTTAAATATAGAAAGTTGTTGTGACGCTTTAGCTTGCTCTGAGAATGCAACTTGCAAAAGTTATGACTTTTCTTTCCATTAGTCTATACTTTGTTTTTTATGCATTTCAATGAGATGTTGATTTATTTAAAAACCTAATGCAGAATACCATAATGTAGTTTGAAATATAGCAACCTTTTTGGATATTTCTGTTAATCATCTCCCCCCTGCTGACCAAATAATGGAATAAATAGTGATATTAGAAATCCCAATCTTTATTAAATAGTTTGTTGAGAATTAGTGTTACTGTGCAACAACAATTATGTGTTGTTGCTTTGTTTCTTATAAACTACCTCTATTAACCAATCTTCTCTCTGCCATCTGTCAGTGTTGGCAGCAATTTTATTTTAGTGGATTTAGGTCGACCTAATCTGTTTTCGTCTCTCTGTAAAGATGATTTTTTTTGGCCCACTCATTTTGGATTAAACCGCTGCCCTCTTGGACCTTCCCCGTTTCTCACCTCACACCGTATCTTTCTCTTAGTTACCATGGTGATGGGAATCCCCACAGTGAAGCGAAAGGTGAAGTCGTATCTGTCAGAGACGCTGCGTTCGCTTATAGACAAGCTCTCAGCAGAGGAAAAGCTTGACTGTGTCATCATTGTGTTTGTCGGGGAGGTGAGAACTTCAGTCGACTGCGATGCCTTTTTGAGAATCGATTTAAAAACAGTGGGTGTAATGTTTCTTCCTGGTACAATCTCTGCAGACTGACCTGGACTATGTCCACAGCGTGGTTGATGGCCTGGAAAAAGAGTGAGTACACTTCTCTGCATAAGGCTTCAAAGCTCTGAAGTCCAACGTTTGCTCATTGTTCGTTCATTGTCTCATCTTTGTCCAAACCTTTTCTTTCCTTAGCTTTTCTACAGAGCTCAACTCTGGCTTGGTGGAGGTCATCTCCCCACCAGCTACCTATTATCCAGATCTGACCAACCTAAAAGAGACTTTTGGAGACTCCAAAGAAAGAGTCAGGTAGGCTAAGCATGTAACATGGCTTTATGATTAAAATTCTTTAATAATGTGCATAATTAAATAATTCTTTTACTCAAAATAAAAGATTTTAGATCAAAAAGTTAGGAAAAGATCAATCTTAAAATGCGTTTAGAATCAATTTATATGATTAAGCTTTAGGTCAGGCCTATTGGAAACAAATCTAATGGGATCAGATAATCAGCAAGGATTTCAGTTTTTTATTGATGCAACTATGCTGATAAATAGAAACATATGCTTAACAAATAGTGCACATAACTCATCATTAGTAAAAGCCTTAATCAGAGGATTATTTAAAGTGAACTAGTTTTGAAGTTTAGTCTTATAAAGAAAAAAAAGGATGGGGTAAAAATTCACATTGATGTGTCATTGTGAAATCTGAAGTGTTTATATTGTCCAGGCCGGGGGCAGTTTGCGCTTTTATGTTTTAGAAAACTAAAATCAGTAATTTGAACATGGCTGACTCAAAGTTTTCCTCTTCCTCCTTATTTTTTTTTTGGTTCACTGACAAACTTGTGTTTTTGCTTATTAAAGGCAAGAAAGAGGATTCTTTGGTGGAAGATATGTCCAACGGCTGTTTGTGTATTTTTGAATTGTGCTCATGTATCAGTGCCTCCCCCCCCCCCCTCAAAAAAGTTCTCTACGCTGGTAACGCGCCGCCGATAATGTTGTACTTGACCTAGAGAGGCAGCAAAGTGCCAGAATGCACCTAGTCAGCAGGAAATCTCCTTAAAAAGAAGAGGTCTTTGCCGACGTTATCACTGCAAGTTGTATTTAAGATTTGTTGGTGTGTTCTCGCTACTGCTGCTACAACTTACTACAGAATGAAATGTAATTTACCGGTCCAGCAGAACCAGTGCATCCATTTTCCGACACTTTTGTGCCTTTAGGGCACGCCATCTCTGAAAAGAATCTTTTAAACACACACTTAGCCGACTCCGTTCTCTCCCACTTTCTCTCCTGTTTCCAGCTACATCGTAATAAGGCTTTTTTTTCCCGGTTAGGTTTGCAGGATCCTTTTTGGCCATTGATGCTGGAGTTTGAACAAAAAGTGAACAAATAGCCACCAAAAAAAATCTGCAGTAGCAAACAAGCCTAGGAGTATTTCTTTGTGCATCGGTTGTAATGGCGGACCGCTAGCCAAACAGCGCATGATTTACTCTTGGAGCCTAAGTAATAACGTACTGGAGGAATGAACGCAAAATGTTTGTCTGACAAACAAGTCGCCAATCCACTTTCAACATTAGACAAAGTGGATTAGCTAATGTTTTGTACGCCCACCACGGCCAGAGTTTAAGGGTTTAAATTTTTTTTTTGTCATTACAGTCATTTTAGATTAATCTGGATACTTAATTTCTGAGAAAAATCCTCTTTCACACCTTTAAGGATAGAGTATTGTTAATAAGAGGGTGATCAGTCCCATTACAATTAGGTTCCTCGGTTCTTCTCCTCTATATGAGTCGTATGTTGTATCTGCGAACCTTCAGCTTCAAAGCTGTTAGTCGTCAAGAAAACCTGATCAGCCAAACATAAGCAGATTTTGGCCTTTTGTTTCCCTCTCTCAAATACTTTAGACTCTAGATGAAATTTATAATATAAACGGTGAAGCCTTGGGGATAAGACTATTTCAAGGCTTTTGCTGCTTTCACATTTTAAGGTTGTAATTCTCAGTAAAAGGACTGGTTTTCTTTTCAGAGTTTAACATCAATATTTTGATTTAACTAATCACGGAACATTTTAAAAGCTTTCTAAATCAGAAAAATCCTACACATATGAGCACCTCACATGCTAACAGACGCATTGAACATGCCCCCTGAGGCTCCAAAAATCATTCATAGTATAAAGACTTTAGAAAACAGTTTACATAAGGAATCAGACTTGCTGTCTTTCTGTACTTCATACAATGTGTATATATCTTTCTTCTGCCTATAATGAAAAAAAAAAACAATACGCAATTTTCTGAAGTAGAATTTGTTGAAAAAAATCTCTGAGGATTGCAGAAAAAACAGAGAGACGAGTCAGGGGGGAGGAGGGAGGGAGTAAGCAAGAGCTTTTAGTTGGCTTGATGGGGCGCTTAGTATTCCACAGGCATTTGTGAAAGTCAGATCAAGGTCATCAGCAGCAGCACGCCGTATCACTGTCTGTTAGTAGGGCCCCACCGTGCTTATCTTTCCTTTATAGCTGAATTCATTAGAAATCTATTTACAGTGCAGTGCAGACTCGCGTAATAGCCTTCAGGAGAGCTGCACTGCATGTGGGTGTTAGTGGGCATAGATGTTTCAGATTGCATCTAGCTCAACCTGATTGTCACATTGCATAAGTTTGCATTTAAAACCTGTTGTCATTAAAATATTGTGGACTTCCAAAGCAATCTGTGCTCAGCTAAGTTGGAATGAGTGACCGTCCATGTTTACTGATGTGTTTTAAGTATGTATAGATATATAGAGCAGGCAGAATCAGAAATATGTTTCTGACAGCTCCCACACAGAAACACCCGCAGTCCTCGGTGAACAGCACACTGCTACGTCAGTTGGACCAAACAATTAGCGTGGCAGCTGGGCATTATAAATAATTCAAGCAGAATCTGCTCCTTTACCTTTGCACATATACCTGCCAACATTGTTGCTTCTCACCTGCCTGACATGTTATCTGCAGATATATGCAGAAAGCTAGATTCAGTAGGCTCCATCTTAATATTTGTGTTTCAATGTCTTATGTCTTTGTTTAGATGGCGAACAAAGCAGAATTTGGATTATTCCTTTCTCATGATGTACGCTGTGAGCAAAGGGGTTTATTATGTCCAGGTATGTCTTTGAATTTTAATTCAGATATTTAATGATTTATACCTCAGTGCTTCTATTTGGAGCTAAATCAGTATGTGTAACATGCAGCTCAGCAGAAGTCTCAATTTGGTAAGTTTGAAGCTGCAGGTAAATGACTACCATACATAAAATATTTAATCTAAAATGCTTTTTTGATTTATTGTCGCTTTACTCTCTGAAAGGTAATAAAATATTTCCATAATAAACCTTTGACTATGTGCAAATATCACATCTCAGCGGAGATAAGTGTGGAATATTTATTACTCATTCTACTACTGCCTGTAATACAGCGGCAGCCTCATTTCCTGGCTACCCCGCTGAGGATGTATGACGTGCATTTTTTACTGCTGTGGCATAATCTCACGCTCAAATTCAAGAAGAAAAATACAGCTTTATCTTTCTTTGTGGGAAAATATTAGAAAAAATTAAAAATTATCAATAGAAAATGGCTTACTGTTCTATAACAGATTAAAAGATTTGAATCATTGCATGATGGAAGTCCTATGCTCTCATCTTTCCAGCTCAACTAACATCTTTTCTATAGGATTTAAGTTGCCTCAGATATCATGGAAAACATTTTGTTTTTTCTTGTTAAAGATCTTTTTTTTAGATAGTTATCCTGTAGTTATCCTAAGATCAGGGTTTGAGGTCTGCTGATTTTTATTTAAACTGCTGTTTTTTCAAGCACAAGGTTACTTTGGCCTTTGGAAAGAGATCAAACCCACATCATCACATATACTTAACATTGGGCATGGAGTGATTTATGTATTTAATCATTTATTTATTTATTCTCATGGGGGAAGTGGCGGCCTAGTGATTAGGGCAAAGAGCTTGGAATCCTGAGGTTCTGAATTTGAGCCCCACTCTGGGTCTCTGAGCAAAGACCCTTAACCCCACACTGCCCCCCTGGCCCCGTACAATGGCAGCCCACTGCTCCCCAAGGGGACGGGTTAAATGCAGAGAGTACATTTTTCTAATGTGAGATCAATAAAGTTTAATTAATTATTATTTAGTTTGACTCCAATCTCACCTGGTTTGTTTGTTGCTTAGAAGGGAGCTTTTCAATCTTGGTCTCATCAGAGTTAATCAAATAAAGGTTCTGATAGTTTAACGTTTTATGTTTAATATGTAGATGCAAGAAGGCTAAAGGTTTTGTTTTGTGCCACCAGAAACATAAAATAGAAATCTATCTATTGTTTATTTAATCTTGGAACTCCATTTAATATCATGATCGGTACCAAACAATTATTTCCCAGATATGTTTTACTTTGCTTAAACTTTATTTTTTTGTCTCATCCATGAAATGTCCTTTCTACTACCAGCTCCCATATGGAAGGAAGAGGTATTGTTAATGAGTAAATCCATTGTCTTAGTGTAAACTGCTACTGTAGTTTGCTGTAGTTAATGTTTTCTAGCTCAGTTCAGACGATTGTCTTCATGGAAATAGAGGAGTCTTCCCTCTCCCACCCTCCCTGTAAACAAATAATCCCACTTTCTTCTCCAACAATATCTGGCTTTTTTACTATTTGTCATTCTGTTTGTTGTTTCCTGTAGCTGGAGGATGACATTGTGGCCAAGCCCAACTATTTTGCCACCATGAAGAACTTTGCCCTGCAGCTGTCTTCAGAGGACTGGATGATCCTGGAGTTCTCCCAGCTTGGCTTCATCGGTATTCCCCTCTTTAGATTAACCAATAATCTTACTAGCAGAGAGGCAGAAGATTAGATATGCAACCAGATTTTTCTAATTATTTTTCAAAACATGTTTCTGACATTCTTAAGCATATACACAGTACTTAGATCTATCTTTTTATTGTAGACAATAGAAATAAAATTTGCAGGTATATTGATTTGCAGTGTAACAACACTGAAATATTCTTAATATTCCACATATACCACAACAATAATAACTGTCATTTTAATTAAATAGAATTGGTCAATTAATTGATTATAAACCTTTCTCACAAAATTCCTACGTCAGTCAGTTATATTCTATTTTGTGTTTTTATCTTTTCAGTAATCTTTTAAAGATCATTCCTTATGTTTTTCTACTGATTCTACAATGAAGAGACAATGAATTGATTTGAGTATTTTTATTATAATCATAATAGGAAATTCAGACCATTTCGAGCATCTGGTACAGCAAAGTCTATGGTGGAAGCGCATTAAGGAATGTTGAGATGTCCTGCTTTACGTTTCAAACATCTGGCTTGATGCATCCTTCCAACTGTGGAAATGTAGAAATAAATAAAAAATGTGAGAAGAAATCAATCTTAGCGAAAGCCGCCCAGAGAGACACCTGTGCCCACCCTGGACTGGAAAGTTTTTATTTTATTAGGCTTTTGTTTTTATCTCTGGAGTGGCCAACTTTTTATCACTCCTATCTTTGACCTTTGCAGCATTGAGAAATAAACTTTTCTTGAATCTTATCTGTTTCTGATCCAAGGTGGGTAGAGTTAAGAGTAGCACTGCTTCATCATATTTTTGCTGAAGTAAAAAGTATACTTTAAAGAAAATACTAAACTAACAGTAAAAAGTATTTGGTAAAAAAGGCTAAGTAACTGATCTACTTACTACCAATGACCATAATAACTGATTTAATACTTCAAAAAATGATGTAAAATTGAACAAAATATTAAGTGATATACAAATTCTGGTGTTTAAAAGAATAAGATAAAAATAAACATATAAAATACAGTGATAACACAATACAACATAGGTGGAATGAACACTTAAAACTACTCTTCAAAGTACATTTTTAATTTATAAAATTTCCAAAATCATTATGCAAGAACAGGTTAAATTACAGTATACTGGTAATACTTGCAGACCCAGCAGATGGAAAATAACATTCAGCTAAAAAAAAAAAAAAGAAGAAAAAATAAAGCATTTCCCTTAATGGTGCACATTTGTTTAAAACAAGCCTGTTTTCATTAAGGGAATTTACTCATGATGGAAGGAGCAGCAAGACATTTTACCTAAATGAGAGTATTAAAACTTTATCATGTTTTTGCTCATGTAAAAGTACAATGCTTTAAAACTACTTCTCTACTTTTTTTATTTTTATGATGTAAGTAAATGCAACTAAGTAAATGTTACTAGTTTCTACCCACCTCTGTTTCTGAAGCAATAATCTTGAATTGTTTCCCTAATGGAAGTGGGACAAACGGTTCATTGCCCAGGTGGTGCTGCAGTAGTTAGCTTTACTACTATCAATGATAACCTCTGCCTGACATCAGTGTTCATGTTTATCAATTTATGTATTTAGGCTGATGTTCAAATTTTTGAGTGAATAGAATGGATGCAACATTACACAAGTTGTTTTGAACAGATTTTTTTATTCTGGTACTTTAAATTATAGATTTTACTGTAAGAGTAGTAACAGAGTATTTTTAAGCCTGAGACAAAAAAAAAGTTTGCTGGGAAACTTTGCCCCACACCTAAAAAGATGGAATGATCAAACACCCCCCAATTTGTTTCGGCAGCCATGTCTGGAAGAAATAAGTAAAAGCAGAAATAAATTAATGTAGAAATAAATGTATGTAAAGAATTATGAAAATATAAATCAATAGAAGTAGAAATAAACAAATACATGTATAAACACAGAAAATGAGAAAATGCAGAAAAATATATAAAAAACTGAGAAATACAAGAATAAGTGTGTTTATTTAATTACATATTTATATTTTGTGTTATTTTATTTATTTTTTTGTATTTTTTCATATGCTTTAATATGTGTTGTTTAAAGTAACTAGTTTTTATAGAGTTTCTTTTGGGGAAAAGTAAACATCTCTGAGGTTGTTCTCTCTTTTCTACAGGAAAAATGTTCCAGGCTCCAGATCTGAACCTCATTGTTGAGTTCATCTTTATGTTCTACAAAGAGAAGCCAATCGACTGGCTGCTGGACCACATACTCTGGGTCAAAGTCTGTAACCCTGAGAAAGATGCGGTATGTCCTGTCAATACTGATTCCTTATTAGTAGAAGTAATCGTATTAATTTGTCATGCAATTTTTTTTACCTCCAGAAACACTGTGAGCGACAGAAATCCAGCCTTCGCGTGCGGTTTAGACCCTCTCTATTTCAACACGTCGGACTCCATTCTTCTCTTGCTGGAAAGATTCAGAAACTGACGGTGAGTTCTCATGTTTTGAACGTTGTTGGCTTTCAGAACCAGATGAATCTGTTTCCTGCATAGAGACAATGGTTTTCCTCCTGTCTGCATCTGTAGGATAAAGACTTCCTGAAGCCGCTACTCCATAAAATGCATGTTAACCCCCCTGCAGAGGTCTCCACTTCAATGAAGGTAACACTCCACAGTTCTTGTATACATTTTGTGCTCTTGTTGATTAAATCAAACCTTTTTTTGTAGTTTAATGACATTTTTATAATCTGTATTCATATCACACATAAATATATTTGTCTTGTATTGTGCAGGTTTATCAGGGCCACACTCTGGAGAAGACGTACCTTGGAGAAGATTTCTTCTGGGCCATCACCCCTACTTCTGGAGACTACATTTTATTTAAATTTGACCGACCGGTTAGCATAGAAAGGTAATGAGCAAAGATTAAACACAAAACATATGCTATAGATCAGCCTAAAACAACAACCCGCCTCACTTGCTGTGATTGGCAGATGGTTTGACAGCGATAAAAATATGGAGAGTGATTCCAGGGAGGATGCTGTATAGGATTACAACAAATGTGCAGTATATTGTGCCTGCGAAATGTAGGCAGCACTAGAAAATACTGTATCAGTGTATACAGTTTATTGGCAAAAAAAAAAAAGTTGATATGGGGTGAGATTTTCACAAACAGGCTCATGCAGAAATCTATTCCAGGTGTTTTACTTTCTGTCCTTCAGTAACTGAGGCCTAGCTTTAGAGAGTGTATGTGTGTGTATGTCTCCTGAGGTCAGCTTGAGCTAATGAGAGTGCTCTAAATTCAGCATTCTCAGGCTGCTTCTCTGCAGTGGTGGAGCAGATAGAAGGGAAGATGGTGAATTTATAAACAGGTTAAAACCAGCCTTAGAGTAAAGCAAACCTTTGTTTAGGTTTGTGAAAAGCAAATAACCCTATTTTAAGCTTATTTTATTGTAAAGTAATATTGGAAGCACAGTAATACAACCTGGGGTCCGTTTCACGAAGCAGGTTTAACAAACTCAGATTCCAATCACTGCTAAATTGATCTAGCCTAATGTCGGGAAGTATGAAATGCCATTATCAGTGGAGCCCCGATACTATGAGTCACCATGACAACATGCAACAGGAAGTTCCTATTTTACCCAACTGGAACTAGAGATTTTATTGGAGACATGAAAAAATGGAATGTGTCTAAAAGACAAAGAAACAGCATTTTAACTGCAAAGGAGAGGAAGATGGCGAATGAAAAGATTGTTGCTCAATTTAATCTATAGGTTTATATGAAGTGGTCTATGGCAAGCCATTTTTACATTTATTAATAACATTCTTCTCTCTGTTGTTCCATTTGTACAACTCTAAAATAAGATTCTTCCTGATCAAAATCACACTCCTACACTGAACTGTAATAATATATTTTCTAAATTACATTTTTGTAGCAGAATGAAAGAATAACAAAATTATATAGTAAGTACCTGCAACTGACCAGATTAGCTCTGGGGAGAATGTTTCTATGGTAACTGAGACAGAAGTTGAATAAACTCTCTTTGTGAAATGGAAAAGTCATTTTCCCTTTTTTCAGGTTTAGAAAACTTTGTGTCTTCAGTAAACCGGCTTTGTGAAACGGACCCCTGATCTTTTAGTGGTTGCACATTTCCTTCTCACTGCCACCACTGTCTTACATTAGATGTAACAATTAAAACCCTAAAAATAGCTTCAAATGTAATGGGAAATCTATTTTATCTCTATTAAGCTTTTAGATTTACCACTTGGCTGCAGTTTTTCTCCAATTAATCTTGAACACAGATGTAAGTTTAGGGCATTAAAGATTAAAGTAATCTCTATTCGCGTTTTATTCCTGGATTGTCCCTCAGCATGATGCAGCCACCGCCAAGTTCAATGTCTCTAAACATTTTGCAGGGTTACCTTTCTGCTACATGTGGTGTTTTGCATATCTGCCAAGAGCTTTAATTTTAGTTTAAACAAACCAGGAGTGTCTTCTACATGACATGTGACAAACAGAAAATGTTTCTTGTTTTGGCTTTCTTCTCACCAGGGTCATATTTGTGCACTAGTAATAGTTTCCCCAGTCTGTAAGTTTAGAAGTTTTGCATATAAGGCAAAGTTTGTACACTGCAAAAACGATCTAGAAATAAGTAAAAATGTTTTAAACTAAGTGTATTTACCCACAATTTGAGGGCCAATGGAATGAGTATTTTACTCTTACAAATAACATACTTAGATAACATGCACTTAAAATTTCTGTTTCTTATTTTAAATGTAAATTTTCTTGTTCCAATGGCAAACTGTCTCACCTCCTCACAAAGATAAAATGTACTTATTTTAAGTAAAAATGACTTATTTAGATTTCCAGTTTTTGCGGTGTACAGACACTCCATAACACCAGATTTTAGAGAAAAACGCATCATTCTGACTTCCACTTTGTGTCAGTTAACTTCAGCAGAGGTTCTAAAGGAACAGCATGGGCATTGAAAGGGTAATGTCTACAAACTATTTGATGAACTGTCTCAGTATTGAAGTGAACATGCAGGATAAGGTTCAGTAATGCTCATCCATGAATATAAATGTTAGAATTCATGCGTGATTCAATTGGCAGGTTCCTGTTTCGCAGCGGTAACCAGGAGCACCCAGGAGACAAGATTGAGAACACCACAGTGGAAATACTTCCTTCCTCGGTAGGGAAACGCCTCCTGCTCCTGAAGTAAAAAAGGGAAATAGGCTACAGGCTTATATATGCTTATAGGTACTGAACTACTGAGGTGTCAGTCTGCTCATCAACATTGTTTTAGTCGTTAAATTTCCAATAGAAAGGCTATTTTAAAGATATTTTTCAGTAAACAATATGTCTCTTATCAGGGCAGCAGGTGCCGTTTAACCTGTTAATGAGTTGAATTTGTGTCTCTTAATTTTATTTTATGTGTTTTATTGTTAGGAAAGTGGACTGCAGACCAAAGAGAAGTACAAGCGAACTGAAGATCGCTTCTACAGGATCGGTAAGACTTTTTGGAAATGGTGAATTCTTCAGAGCAGTGGCACAGTGATTAGTACACCTGGCAGGCAAACAAATATTAGATAATGGAGAAAAAAATGATTCTCAGGATAAGATTCATCAGTGTGTGAGCTGTTGGAGCAGGACACACGTGGTCTAATTTTTCTATATATTTCCCGTTTTTTCCCCCTCCATGTTGTTTGTGTTTAAACATTCAGGTCAGTTTGAGAAAGGTGTGGCAGAGGGGGTTGTAGATCCAGCCTTCAACCCAGTTGTTGCCCTTCGACTCTCAGTTCAGAAAAACTCTGCTGTGTGGGCCATCCTTAGTGAGGTACATGCTTTGTCCAGACAAGGAAAACCCTCATCGTTTCCACCCACTGAGGGGAAATAACTAAATGAAAATTGGTCTGCTCTGTCATTGCAGGTACATATAAAGAGGGTATCTGGCTGAGTGCTCAGGAGGAGGTACATGAATCATAGCCCCTGGAGGGCCAAAGTCTCCCAGACTGCTAATGCGGGGTCTCTAGTACCTAGCAACCAGCAGAGAAGTCATTAGAGCTTAGACTTGTCTAAGAAATGCCAGCTCTCTGTCCTCGTTCTACCTGATTTGCTTTGTTTTTGCTTCTTATTTATCAGTCTCTCCCTGACTTTCTTCATGACTCCCACACTCTTGTGATTTTATTTTTGAGAATGTGAATACTACTGTCTGCAGTCAACAAGGAGGGTGTGAAGACATCCGCTCGCAGCCTGGCTTCTCAGAGGAACAGTGTCGCAGAGCGGCTTTGAATCCAATCAGATAATTGCTGGAAGAATGCACGCGGCTGAATCTTTACAGGTGGGGGGAACCAATCCACCTGGCCAGTGGTAGAGATGATGCCAAATCCCTCTCACTTACTCAATGCTGCCACATGTGGGCGAGCAGGGGCATTGCACTGTCTCTCGTGCCTCAGCAAACCCCAGCGATGATCAAGAATGTTGACGTCTCCTAACGGTGGGCTGGCTCCAAAAGCAGCGGCGGAGGTCTAACACGGGACTCTAGATGCACACCAGCCCAAACTGATATCTTCTCTTCACTCCAGTCAAACAGATATCCTGTTGTTAGGCTGGTGGGAGTATTTTTCCATATATTCCAACCTAAGGCAGCCTATTGATCCACAAAAAAAAATCAGCTGTATGTCATCAAATCTCTCTCTCCTCAAGGTCATTTTAGGGTTAGCTAACAGGGACTTTAGCGAGGCAAAATTTCCTCAAAGAAATATATTGTTATACTGATATATTATTATTACAACTATGACTGACGATCTATGAAGTTGACTTAATTTATTGAAAATAAATCTTTAATTTGTACAAGAGTTAAAATATATTTTATTCTAAAAGATGTTTATGGTAGTTATGAGTCTGTGTTTTTATGGACTTTTCTTTTTAATCTAAATAGTTTCTGTAATTTTTAATTTTCATGGCATACAGCTCCTTGCAAAGTCTTGTGTCAACAAATTCATTTTCATGGTATTGAAACTTAAACAGTAGGAGGATTGTACTAGATTCTGTTTTAGTTGTTGCAGGGTTCCTACACGTTTTAATATGAAACCTATGTTAAAACATTTTCCAAGAATCTTCTGGGTTCCAATTTAAAGAAAAAAGAAAATCAGACTTTCTAAGAAATAAGGAGGTAATTATGTGGTTATCACATCATAATTGGTGTTAATCTTTATTTTATGAATGTAGTGGGAGAGGATGAGACAATGAGGAAAAAAATGGCATGGAAGTGATCATTTTCTCTTATATTAGGAGGTTCATAAAGTTATTGTGCCTGCTGTACTGGGAATGTATCAAGACAAATTAAGCTGGAGATCCTAGTTCCATATGATGAGACAATGTGGCTGTAAATACTTTTAAAAAAGGATTGATATCTTCAAATATTTTAATAATAAATGGTTATACCAATAAAAGTAGCTCAAAATATTTGAGGGGAAAAGCTGAAAACACCTTTTAACAAAATTATAATGAGCTCCTTAAATTTTACTATAACAAAACTTTGAATCCGTTATCTAATCAAACGCAAACTAAAGAGATGGTTAAGTCAAAGTAAAGAGTATCTTGATATGAGACCTAAAGCCATAGATTTTATGAGATAATGAAACAACTAAACATGCTTGACATCTCGTTATCTTCATTTCATAAAATAAGCTGTTATTTAGTTGAAATATCTTGATATTTAAAAGAGTCAGAAGCTGCCTTTGTTAATACAATGTCATATTTTCTGTATGTTCAGGTAGTTGGAAGAAATACAGACAGAATTAGATGAAAATATTGCTTTTGTAAGATATTTGTATTATTTAATTTCTATTAATGTAAAAATAGTTTTATAAATCTACCTTATTCTCAAGGATAATGGCTCCTGGTCTCACATATGAATGTCATATTTTGGTGGATAACTTAACAGTTTAGCAAATTATCACGTTTTTGCAGCTAGTTACATTACCATACAGCTTTGTTTTGTATTAGCTGGATATAACTTCAATAATGAAGAGAGGTTTAGCGTTTTTATGGGAGCTCATTAATGGTAAACACCAGAGTGAGAGCAATTTGACCCGATTGGTAGTACCTAGTAGAAATGGTCTGATAATGGTTAGGAAATGGGTCTGAAAACATCTGGAATACTTACTGTAACAGCTGTAGGAACCCTGAGGTAGTAGATACCAGTCTAAGTAGGAAAAATGTGCCTTATAAACACCATTATCTTGAAATTACCCCCCATTCTCAACAATCTTTTTCTTCGCTGTTTCTTGCCTGGAAAATCATCAATGTTTGGATAATGTTAATTTAGATAAAACAATGCTAGATTAAAACAATATTAAATATTATATTACTGCTGAAAAGAAGTGAAAACTAATTTCATCAGCTTATGATCTGGCACAGCAATATTTGCACTGCTTTGATGATTTTTTTTTACCTCATTTCATTTTTTTCATTTATTTTGTTAGGGTAAGTTCTTTTTGTGGACAGGACATGACTACTGATCAATAAATTTCACCGCTGTAAATATATTTAGAGATATATATTCTATCACTTTTTTCCTATTGGAGGTAGTGTTTTTTTTTTTTTTTTTTTTTTTACATTTTCATGTATGTGGCCAACTATCTAATTTAAAACTATTTGTAAGTGAAACTTGACTGATCTTTTGTAATAGTGATTGTAGTTTTCACTGTCAAGGGGTTAGTGAAGTGCCTTTAGGTGGGATTGTTTTCTAATTACTCTAATTCTGGCTTAAAATGCTTTATCGCAGTTATGATTTTAATTGTAATTTACTAACATTTTGTTCAGGTCAAACAGGTTCCCTTTCCTTTCCCCAATTGAAGTATGTGCTCTGGTCAGTCTCTAGTTCTTTGAATTTGAAAATCTGAGCAAAACTTCATAGCCCGAAATGCTTAAAAAATACCTTTTCCTTCTGCTTTTAATGTTGCATCTGCTTTCATAAACAAACGGAAAATGAATGCATGTAAGGGACCCATTGCCATGCTGTCTGGGATTTTCCCTGCTCTTTTTAAGGAAGCAGGACATGTCTGTAAAAAAAAAAAAATACAAAGGACATTCACTCAACAACTTCAGTTCATGTGCCTTCATCGTGTCCATGTTTGCTTGATTCTGGTGATCTTTTTGGCATCAATTTTCCATGAACATCGATTTTGAATAAACATCTGAACTGGGTGGAACTAATTGTACTTTTTGTGTTTTGTTTTTGTTTTTTTCTTTCATCCCATCTTCATTTTCAGGTTTCTTATTTTAAAAACTCGATTTTAAAGCTATGTGGCCCAAAATCCAATTGTTCAATTAATTGAGTCACATGTTAATGGGGAAAAAACTACAAGCAATCCCAGCCTGCACTTCGACTTCCGCTTTCCCACAATGCCTTTCGCAATCATGGCGACTGACAGAGCTTCATAACAGTTACATATCACTGTTTTTTACGCGTGAATTACTGCAGCCCTCAGTTTGACATTCGCTTGTTTTGTTGTTAAAAGTGATCTCTGAACAATGCCTAAATATTACGAGGATAAAGAGGAGGACAGCAGAGCCTGCGCGGGCATTAGAGAGGACTTCAAGGCTTGTCTCCTTCAGCATGACTGTGTGGTAAAGGTAGGTGGAGGGAAGGGACACTGAGAGAGATGGTAAACAAAACTAATTTATATTGTAAAAGCCCTTAGCTGTATCTCATCTAGCTCCTCCGCTTTTCTAACCCGATAAAATGCTAACGCTATGCTAAGGTGCGACTTCTACAAGATAAACTAGAACCAAAACTGTTGGATTTGTTTGCTGAATTCACATCTGAAACAAAAAAACAAGCCCTTTTCAGATTGAAAGCAAATGAGGAAAAGGTTTCAACCCGATGCAGATTGATAGACCACTGTAAATCCTCACATTTAAATTCAGCTAAACATTTGATAATTAATAATTAGGATTTTCTTCTTTTCCTCTCTGTGCCAATCAGTGGCAGCTGGTGGAGTTTTCTCCAGGAGGGGCTAAAAATTTAAAATAGACCTATACCAAAAAAAACTGTCCAATGTCAACAACAACAAAAAACATAAAAAATAAAATAAAAAAAAACTTAATGAATACAAAAAGATAATATAATTTAAAAGTTTTACTTTCTGTACATACATTTTGCCCTTCTGAGGCTTTGTCCAATATGGTGTCACAAACCTAAAAAAATAATGTACCTGTTTAATAATAGAGAAGCTATTAGTCAGCTATATATTCTCTAATGTATAAAAACTATTTTAATTTAAGAACAACAATGCAAATTGACAAACATCTAAAAAAAGTTCAGTATATTATATTATTTTCCATGTGAATCCCAGATTGTTCATTCTTCTTTTACTTTAAATCAGTCCTTCCTGTCTTTATCCATGCTGGGTCAGACCCTGATGTTTGAAAAAGGAGGCAGGGAAAGCAGAATAAAGCATTAGCCTCGCTGCATGCAGTTAGCCAAGCCTTGTAGCTTAACCATGGCCTGGAAAAAGACAGAGTGAACGATCCCATCTGTGTTTGGACTGCTGATTAATTTTGATGTTCGTCTGATCAGGTCCAAACGATTTCACCACCAGCTTCTAATGGAAGTTTGCTTTAAGGGATTTCACTCCTATGACTCGACCTGTCAATCACCCACACTAAACTGTGACTACAGTTTCTGCCACCTTGGGGCACCCCATTCCTGCGCCCTGAGCAGGAATGGGGTGTAGCGATAGTGGAGTTTTTCCTCTCCACTGTCTCTACAAGTATGTTTAGTGTGAGGGATTGCATTCAAGTCAATGAGTCGAGGCAATCAACTGGTTTTCCTTAGATAGAAAAATTTGAATCAATCTGACTGGATGATCTAGTGAACTGTAAAGTGATTTGAAGTGCTATCCTATGCGTTTTTTTTGCAGAGCAGCTACTGCGCTTGTACAGCTTTTAACAAGAGTCAATGGGCAAATATTTATGGGCCCTAGGGTGGAATTACATCACCAATCAGACAAAAAAACGAAACGGCTTTAATCGTCATCAAAGATTAAATATATATCTTGTACATCTAAAATATATATATCAGTATATTTTTTTATTTGTTTTTTTATTTCTTAATCAAGGTCATTGGGTGGGTGGGACGGCGCTTTGCTCAAAATGCCCCGGCAAAAGGTTTGCCCCAGTCCGGCCCTGAATCAATCCCATGACGATTCAATTCAATATCTATTCAACAGATTATAGACTAATTGTTCTTTGAACTGTATAAAAGTAAAGAGGACCCATAGAAAACCTGAAACGTATTATCTGATGTTTATGTTAAAGTTTGTCAGCTAATACAATAAGTTACTTGACAGTCAAAACATTATAACAGAATAAAATAAGCTAAACTTAAAATGAGTTATTTTACACAATTGGAGCAACAGGAATCATATGTTTGAGTATATTTAAGCGTTATACTTAAACAGGAATCAAGTAACAAATAACATAATGTATGAGTTTTTTGCTCAAGGTGGGACAACATATTTTCTAAGAATTCAAAATTGTCCCTCAGTAGATGCAATGCTTAGAATTTTTGCGATACATCTTTGGCAACCTGAAAACCCAAAGTGCACCGAAAAAAAAAAAGAGGAAGCTTCTCATCTTTTTGTGTAGCCACGGCTCATATAACAATATTTAGTTTTACTACATTTTCACTAGAGGCACTAGGACCAGTTTTATTGGGGCACTGGCTCCTGCTGGCCTCTGCCCTGAACTGCCAGTGCTGCCACCTTGCTCTTTATAAACACCTTGGCTTTATTTATACATCACTAAAACAAATTCCTTGTATGTCTGAAAACTCAGCTTTGCAATAAAAAAGCTTAAATTCTGATTTAAAAACCAAACACAGATAATCCACTTTTAGTTGCAGCCGATGTATTCTCCATTTCCAACCACCCCACCTGTAAGCTGAAAGGAATAACAGTCTAATGTTTATGTAAAAGACCAATTAGCTATGATGATAAGGAATTTTCTTGGTAAGTTTTGGACCAAGGAAATAAGCTTAAAATGCAGTTTCTATTGTCACATTAAAGACGGCATATTTATGTGTGTTTATATCTACTAGGAGGGAAAGATGCCCAGCGAGTGTCTGAAGGAAGGCCATTGCAAAGCCCTGCAGACATCATTCTTTGAGTGCAAGAGGTCCATGGTACGTCTGTAAACACTTTTTTCATAGAGAACAGATGTTTATAAAGGACATTTAACCTGAGGTTTGAGGGTGGTAGGAATGCTGCATGTGCAGTGAGGAAAATAAATATTTGAACACCCTGTTATTTTGCAAGTTCTCCCACTTAGAAATCATGAAGCGGTCTGAAATTTTCATTGTAGGTGCATGTCCACTGTGAGAGACATAACCAAAAAAAAAATTCCAGAAATCACAATATATGATTTTTTTAAAAATAGTTATTTGTATGATACAGCTGCAAACAATTATTTTCACACCTGTCTATCTATAAAGAGCTTTTAGTCTCCCTCCAAAATGTTCACCTGCACTCCATTTATTATCCTATATTAGATGCACCTGTTTTAGGTCGTTAGCTGCATAACGACACCTGTCCACCCATTAAAATCAGTAAGAATCCAAATATTAACATGGCCAAGACCAAAGAGCTACGGGGAAATTGCCAAGCAGCTTGGTGATAAAAGGTCCACTGTTGGAGCAACATTAGAAAATGGAAGAAGCTAAATATGACTGTCAGTCTCACTCTGACTGGGGCTCCATGCAAGATCTCACCTTGTGAGGTCTCAATGATCTTAAGAAAGGTGAGAAATCAGGCCAGAACTACATGAGAGGAGTTCGTCAATGACCTGAAAGAGCTGGGACCACCGTTTCCAAGGTTACTGTTGGTAATACACTAAGACGTTATGGTTTGAAATCATGCATGGCATGGAGGGTTCCCCTGCTTAAACCAGCACATGTCTAGACCCGCCTTAAGTTTACCAATGACTATTTGGATGATCCTGAGGAGTCATGACAGCAAAGTCATGTGGTCAGATGAGACCAAAATAGAACTTTTTTTTGTCATAATTCCAGTGACCGTGTTTGGAGGAAGAAGAATGATGAGTACCATCCCAAGAACACCATCCCTACTGTGAGAAATGGGGGTGGTAGCATCATGCTTTGGAGTGTTTTTCTGCACATGAGACAGGGCGACTGCACTGCACTGTATTGAGGAGAGGATGACCAGGGCTGTGTATTGTGAGATTTTGGGGAACAACCTCCTTCCCTCAGTTAGAGCATTGAAGATGGGTCAAGGCTGGGTCTTCCAACATGACAATGACCTGAAGCACAGCCAGGATAACCAAGGAGTGGCTCTGGAAGAAGCATAGCAAGGTGCTGGTGTGGCCTAGCCAGTCTCCAGACCTAAACCCAATAGAGAATCTTTGGAGGAAGCTCAACTCTGTTTTTCTCAGCGGCATCCCAGAAACCTGCCTGATCTAGAGAAGACCTGTCTGGAGGAGTGGGCCAAAATCCCTCCAGCAGTGTGTGCAAACTGGATAAAAAAACTACAGGAAACATTTCACCTCTGTAGTTGCAAACAAAGGCTACTGTACCAAATATTAACATTGATTCTCTCATGTGTTCAAATACTTATTTGCAACTTTATCATGCAAATAAACAGTTAGAAAAAAAAATCATACATTGTGATTTCTGGATTTTTTAGTTTTTTTTTTTAGATCATGTCTCTCCCAGTGGACATTTATCTACGATGATAATTTCAGACCCCTCCATAATTTCTAAGTGGGAGAATTAGCAACATAGCAGGGTGTTCAAATACTTATTTTCCTCACTGTATATATCAACTAAACAACTTTAATAAAATGTTTTCTATCCACAGCTTGACACAAGGTCACGATTCAGAGGGAGGAAAGGATACTGATACCAACGTTAACGTCTGACATGGCTGATGGAAAAGCTGTAAATATTTATATTGATCACAATCAATAGTTCTTCAGCGTGTGTGAACCTGCATCTTTAGTTTTATCAGTACCTCACCTGAAGCACAGGTGAGGAAGTGCAGCAGCAAGCTACAGGATGTGAAGAACCCACAGAGGATTACACCATTAATCTTTAAAATATGGGGGAGCAGGATAAGACCAGAGCTCCTATTGGTTGGAGCATCCAATATGTGAGAACATTTTATCTTTGAGTGTGTGATGAATGAAAAGCATCAACTTCAATAAACAATGACCAAAGTCAAAGGTTTCAGTCTGTTTATACTGGAGTCATTCCATCATGAAGGTACATGTGCAGCTTTAGAGCATTATCAGTTAAAGACATACGGCAAAGAGGTGAAACTCATTTCAGAGCCGCCATCATCATCCTCTTAAACTTCTCCATATCCACCTTTTTTATGATAAAAGCTTTATGCGTTTTGTTCAGCAGTCCCAGAGTGTCCACGATCATCATCCCTCTGGTGTTATGCCCCATCAGCTCCACGCTGACTGGAAACTGGTCGCTCTCTATGATGAATGAGTCATCCACAGCGGCGGCCATAGCATATGAGTCACAGGAAATGAGGCCCGACCCGGCAATAAACTCTCTCTCGAAGCGGTCGGTCTTTGACGCCTCGATGCTGTGGCGGAAAATCTTTGCCATGAAGCGAGCTTTATGGGTGTTCTGCGCCAACCAGGCGTCACAGAACTCCTGAGGAAATGAATAAGCGCATCACAAGCTGCAATATTTTACTGTTGATAAATGATGGAAACCCTGAACTAATGCACAGCATGGTGTCTACACGTCATCCACGCATGATAGTAGATGAGAAATTACCCAGGGCAGCTTGTTGTAGCAGGTAAACTCCCAGCAGGCCAAGTAGGTTGGACACTGGTAATCATTCAGCACGATGTATGCAGCTTCTGGATCAGAAGTGAAGTTGAACTCGCCGCACACCGTGATGTTTCCTCGGGCTTCGTTACAGGGGAACCACAAAAAGTCAGTCTTTACCAAGAGAAGAGATAATAAAAAAATATCTATACTTTCTTAGGCTTCCAATGTGCCGTATTAATTATTCTCAGCAATAAAAACAGAATTTTTGGTCACTTCTTTAAGAGCTGTGTATTTAGGCAAGTTTAAAATATAAAAATATGATTTGGATGCATTAGTCTGATTTTAAGTAACAGTAAGTGGATAACTGGTCTAATTTCATTTACAATGAAAAAATGTTACAAAAATGTTGATATTAAAGGTATAGTGTAGGACAGTGGTTCCCAAACTTTTTTGACTCAAGGTACCCCTACACATTTTTCCACCCAGCCGTGGTACCCCTAAACTGATAATGATTATTTGATAATTACTTTTCTGTCATTTTTTCAAAGTAGTAAAGAAAACATAAAATGAAACCCCTCGTCTTAGAATATATTTGCTTACATAAAATGTAAATAAAATGTAAAAATGTACATTCAATATAAAAAATCCTGCGGCACCCCTGTAGTGACCTTGCGGTACCCCTAGGTGCCGTGGCACCCACTTTGAAAACCCCTGGTGTAGGATATTCTTTTTCCGGGTGGATCATCAAAATAAGTGGTCCTCCTAAATGTTTCCATAAGGCTGTCCTACATGCTAGTCCCCGTTTCACTTACTGATGGTGAGTCTGACAAAGTGGAAAAATTGCAAATCTTCTTTTGGAAAGAAAGTTTGCATGAGCGATGCAAGCAGCAACTTTTAAACAGGAGAAATGGGCTCGTTCATGCTCTTGCATGAACAAGGCATTCCCTCTCAGGAGCGAGTACAGGGTTGTGCATGTGCATTTTTCTTTTCTTTTTTTTAAGGTGAGAGGGCGGTTATCCAAAATTTGCGAAAATCTTCCACTATACCTTTAAAGATGTATGCTTTGTGTTGCAACTGAGGTTTCCTTTCCAACAAGTTTTTCAACTTGGGTGGTGATTTTAACCCAGTCTGTACCGGTAGCCATGCTGTCGGTGCACAGTAATGGATGAGTGAAGTGGAAATGAACAAATCTACAAGCTGTCGGTGTTTCACTCACACTCCGTGTTCCCTCCCATTATGTAGAGCCCTTTGAGTTTACGCGGCAGAGATGGATCCATCCTCACAGCCAGAGCCAAGTTGGTTAGGGGTGCCGTGGCAACCAGACACACCTGGGAGAATAAAAGTGATGTTATTGAAGTATTCAAACAATTATTACAATACTGTAACATTTCTGAAATGTAAACCATGAAAATGATTGTAAAGACCTTTCAAAAATATGTTTACTGTAATAAAAAAAATGCTTTTTTTTGTTGCTGAATGAATGAACACCAATTTATTCTCAGTTCAGATGTGAATAGACAGACATGATGAGAATGTCGTACGTCTTCTCTAAGCTGAGAAGTTTAGCATGATTTTTGTAGCTGTCTCTGTAAAAGGATTTTAAAGATGTCACTAAAGAAATCTTAAATTCACGGCACTGAAAGACCTGTACAAGAAGTGGATGTTCAAAACAGCTGCCCTGTAGCTCAGGTCTGGGCTCCTACTCAAGCTCACGCTAATGATGATACTAAAGTTGTTCCCAAATCAATCCACAACTTTAAAATATAACTACAGGACCAACAGCAGCTTTATAATTTTAATATGTAAGGACATACATGTGCAACCACAAAGGGATAGCGTATTTCTTATTCTCATGAAGGACACCTTTGCTGATGTATTCAGGGATGGATCTAAAGGGGGGGGCATGGACAACCCTAGCCAATCACTGGGCACCGCTAGGGACACCTCTATTAGGAGATTTGCTGTTCCTGAATGGATGCAACTCACCACAGGAACAAGCAGTTCTCCTCTAAACCAGAAGGTGGCAGCAGGGATACCATCATGTAGAGCTTTGACATTTTGAAAGTCAGTATAATAATCAAAAACACAGCAATTTTTTTTTTTTTTTACAAAAATATACTACATTTAAAGGGATTTTTTATGAATTCGTTTCTGGATTATATAGGGAGGGGTTTGTCTATGCAGAGTCTTCTATGAATCTGCTCGACCCAGGGCTGCACGATGGATCAGTTGGTAGTTTCTTTCTTTGCAGCAAGAAGGTTCCAGGTTCGATTCTCGGCCCAGTGTCTTTCTGCATGGAGTTTTCATGTTCTCCTCCGTGCATGTATTGGTTCTCTCTGGGTACACCAGCTTCCTCCCACAGTCCATTAACATAATTTGTTCGGTTAACTGGAATCTCTTGGTGTGAGTCTGATTGCATGATTGTGTGTCTCTCTGTTTTCCTGTGACAGACTGGTGACCTGTCCAGTGTGAACATCACAGATTTACAACTATGTGCATATCTTTATTAGCACTTGAAAATCTGGTCTGTTTTCAGTAATTTATTCTGAAATTATATATGTTTTGCTTCCTTCATTTTCTTGTTGGTTTATTGTGATCAGTATAGGCTGACCCTATAAATGTTTTCTGGAGCTTCCATTGGATGTATTAAACAGGAAGTGCACCAAATAGCTTTGGGTCTTTTTTTTACAAGCCATCTTCTCTATGTTTGCACAGCGCTCTTATTTCACAAAATTTCTAACAAACCCTGTGACTTATACTAACTTACGAACTCATTGACTATGACTACAGATGAAGAGGAAACAATCATATGTAGATCTGACTGGAGCCAAATGCTCTGCACCTCTCACCTCTCCTGGGTTTTCATTAACAATCCGGATAATGGCTGACACAGCGTTCTCCTTCTGAAGCTGGTCCAGTCCTGGAGCATTGGGGTCCGGAGCGTCACCCAGGCCATCCTTTCCATGGAACTCTCCTGCATTCAGCATGTTCCCCAGGATAGACCTATCAGCACCTTTAAAGACTGGGATCTGATCCAAAATGATAAGAACACTGAATATAATGAAGAAATTAAAACACGCAAACACAAAATGCTAAGATATTACATGCCAGACTATGCATAAAAACTACTTGGTGCTCTATGGGGTTTTAATAAAAGTATACTGCATGTGACCCACATCCAGCTTATTGCAGGCCTGCAGAACACGCAGAACATTCTTGCACACGTTCTCTACAGCCGTGTTTCCATGCACACAGGTGATCCCCAGGAGCTCCACTTTGGGAGTGGCCAGCGCCAGCATGATGGCCTGAGCATCGTCCACACCACAGTCCACATCCACCAAGAGCTTCTTCATCGTTCTGAACCCTGCAAGTGGAGATATTTCTGTTGAAACACAAATGTAGTATATTTTACAAGACAAACATGATTTTTATTTATGTGATTGCATGTACGAGTATAAAACATCTAATTAGATCGTCAGAAATGATTTGAAACTGAAACATTTTAACTTACCTGGAAGCTGTTGTAGGAAGTCTGAATAGAAGGGTGTTCCTGACAAAATGCAGTCAAGGGAGGTTGGCTGGAGACAACCTTTGAGCGGAAAGAGAAAAAAAACAGCAGAATCAGGAGCCGGCTACATAAAGGAAGTTATGAAAGAGAAGGAAAAAGGTTAATTAATAATCTCACTCTTAATTAGTGTGTATTGTACTTTTAAGATAGGCTGTAAAAAACACAATGAATCATTGCTGCAGATTCAAAATTTTCAATCAAAGTCTGTATATCAGTATTTTTCAGTACAGTAAAGTTAAATCCAGATCCGTTAAAAGAAGCTGTTATAAGGAGCAAAGGTCAATTTGCATGATCTTTGTTCAGTACCTGCACACTCCTAGAAATGTCCTGAGTCTGAAGCCTCCTGTCTTTAGTTAGAGGGTTAGAGTGGCCTTGTTTCTGCTGCAGCCAGCACTATTGTGTCTGTCACAGCACAACACAGATAAAGGCTTTCCTTCTTCCTCTCATGGGCTTTTAGGAAATTTTCAGAAAGCAGTCATGTGTTTTTTGTTAAGTACAGATTATTTAAAGCAGAACCTTTTTAAATAAAAAATCATATGCTTTATGATTAAAATAATCAGATAAATCAAATTAATAAATCATGTGTTTACAGTGCACCCGTCTCTCCTCCAAATTGTGCCTGTTTTTCGATAAACCTTTCCAATTATGAACCAAATGTTAGTGCATTTGGGGGTAATTATTGGTCAATTAGGTCTGGATAGCAGCTAATGTGTTTGTGATGTTTGGTGTTTATACATATATATGCATCTTTGTATGAATAGCCTTCCCAGAAGCTTATATGGATCATGGTTAGACCCAGGTATTATTTAATCACTTTATGGAAGCCATAAGCATAGAGTGAAATTGTAATATATCAGTCAGAAAGTCAGAAAAGGTGTGGGGAAAAAAACAAAACATTGTCAAACATGCTTTTGATCAAAAATCAGTGTTCAAATCTGAAATGAAATCTTTTATTAGTGGTCAAAACAGTCGATAAAAGTTGAAGTTCTTTGATGTGTGTCAGAATAAAATTTTCTTCATCTGTGGATAAAAGCTCCTGCTGTCGTTCTGTGGAGTCCCAAAGCCTCAGAATTTTAATCTAGAATAGTTTGTTTTACACCCATCCAGACTGCTAACATTAATATTTTATTTCTTACTACAGCTTGAACTTGCTCAAATTATAAAGGTTCAGCCAAAGTGATTCTACAAGTGGCAGAGGTCAGGTTCGTATTTAAGTTATTTTGTGAGATGTTAACATTGTTTTATGGGTTAAGGATTCAAATGTAATATTATGATTATGTAATATAATCTAGAAATGCCATTTCACAGTACAGCAGGTATCACCATGTCAAGAAAATGAATGTACTGTCATGGGAAAAAAGTATTCAAATATTCATCCTAGTTAAATAAACGGAGATCGATGGATTTCACTCAGTCGGCACATTTATTAAATATCTTTGCAAAGAGAGAACAGTCATCATACAGCCCGAATGACACATCATTCTGCTCTGTTCTGCCTGAGCAGCGTTCGTTCCCACTTACTTACAACAATGGAAAGTAGTCAGTCATAACAAATTACACACACTTTGGTTAACAGTAACATGTTATGAATAAACCTTGAGAAAGAACCTGATTTGTTATGGGAAGAAGCTATGTCTGGTCTACAAACACCAGCCTGCAGGGAAATGTGTAGCCTTGAGAGAGAAACAGACTGAGTGAAAACTTTTATAGTGAGTAAATAGGATAAATTAATATATAATAGAAGAGAGATAAAACAGTACAAATCAAACTAAAGTCAGTGGAACCAACTTGAAAATAAATCAAAGCTGACAGGATGAGGTTAATTTGTTAAAGATCAAGTATAGGAAAAAAAAAACTAAAGCTTAAAACAAAACAAGAGTCCAATGGATTTACAACAAAATGTAAACTTTTGAGAGCAATACACATGAAATAAATATGTATCTCAGCATTTCTTAGAGAAAAATATACAACTGGATGTGTTTTAAAGCATTTTCTTTACAATAACAAAAAAATATCTCACCTTTTCACAAAGGGGAGCTCCTCCAGTTTAACACACAAATCTCCATGTTGATGAGGAGGATAATCGTGTTTTATTAAAACTTCCTTTCAAGATACAGATATTTTTTTACAGGTCATCACAATAAACAGACAACTAGTAAACAGTCAAACCCCAGATTAGAGCAAATACTTTAAATAACAAGAACAGGAACTTGTATTTTCTCTCTGTATACTTCATACATGTGTTAGCATATATATACAGTATGATTATTTTAAAAATATCTATTCATTTACAAAAAAAAAAAATAACAGTAGAAAAAAGGATGACTTACAAATTCTTTTCTAGCATTGAGCAGCAAAAGATGATTGAAGAATAATAACTTGAGCCTCATCATCATCAAATCTAAGAGAGATTAGAATTTTGTACCAAAGCAGACCTGCTTCAACATCCTCCTCCCTTCGTTACATGAAAAAGCTAAAGCAGATGGAAAAGCTTGGTTTCTCTATGATATTAGTCAAAATCTAATCAAAAATAGTTGTTCCTTTTTCTGCACACTAGAGATAAATGATTTACGAGAATCAGTTTAAAAGAAATTACATAAGCTTCACTATGAAAAACTCATAGCGGGGTGGGGGGTTGATAAATCACACCTGAATCTAAGAAAGTTATTACGTTTTCCTCCTAAGCTACCAGGAGAGGTAGTGACAATTGAGTTGGTAACACTCCTCATTTATAAAATGTCACATAAAAAAACATTTCATGTACTTAAAATGGAAAATGTTCTGAAGATGGTTTTCTTTTAGGCACAAATGGAGGTCAGATGATCCCCAACTGACCCTAAGGAACCTCATCAAGCAGTTTTACTTCAAAGATTCCCATAAAACAAGCAAACAAACAAAAATAAAAACTGTTGTCAGCGAACTGTTTTTAATACTAGTCAGTGTTGGTGGACAGCTGCCTCCAGGTTGGAGGTCAGGCGGCTTGATTTCTCCAGGCAGAAACAGGTCTGCAGCGATGAGTGGATGCTGAGACAAAAAGAGGAGCTCTTGGTTCTCCAGCCAGTCTACACTTTAAACATAAAACAACTACCATGAAATGTGGATCATAACCAAAGAGTGAGCTGCTAAAAGGGTGGCTGGGCTCCGAATCACCGTAAAACATCGCCTGATAGACTGAATCTCCCTTTAGCACTAGAAAGTACTTAAGATTCCCCAAAGCTGGAGACTGCTGCTAGTAAGAGGAGCTGAGTTTACCTCTCAGTCCTGTTACCTCTGCAACCCAGCCTCAGATGAAAGGAAAGAAAGATGGATTTAATGTATCGCATGTGTAAAATATCTCATAATAAAATATTAATGTCTGACCCAGGTTTCCAAACATTTAAGTCTTTGATGCCTGAAATAGCTGTGCTGTGCAGCGGACAGGACTAAATTTATTTATAGTATGAAATAAATATTCAATTCCATAATACAATAAACTAAACAGTTTATTTAATTATCCATTGTATTAAAAAAAAAAAAAACGTTTTGCTAGTCATTTAATGGGACAATATCAAGCTAATTCCTTCATGATATACTTGGCTTCATTTTGGCCCTTTGTTTTTTTTACTCCTCATGTCCAGCTTCAAGGCAAGCAGAATGCTGCTCCAGTGCTTCCAGTGGCAGCCCACTGCTCCCCAATGGGATGGGTTAGTGAATTTCTCTATTGTGATATTACATTATCCGTTTCCTGTATTTCACCTCCATTAAGCCTCATACTGGTAGCATAAATAATTCTACCATAACAAACCTGTTAGTCTCAGAATTAACAGATATATCAGTGGAGGCCCTCAAAGTTTGCTGATGAACTGAAAGGTTTTTTCTGCATAAAAAGTGACAGACTGAGGGTTTGATCCTTCATGGCAGGTTTCTCTCTTTAATATCTTAGGCACTAGTGGCCTTTATTTTTTATGTTTATTTTTTTCAGTAGTAGGTAGACAGGAAATGTGTTTGGAAAGAGGGGGAAGACATGCAGCAAAGCTCACTGGGCGGCGTTTTGAACTGCTGACCTTTGTGTCGGGGACCTAAGCCTCCATAAATGGGTTCAAGCTTTTTGAAGGTGACGCTTTACTCTTTCTATTCTTATTTGCATTGCTGTGTTGTTGTTACCCAGTCTGAACCTGAGGACCTGAGTTCACTCCATGTGTGTTTGTCATTTCAAAGCCGCCATCATCATCTTTTTGAACTTTTCCATGTCCACCTTCTTCATAATAACAGCTTTATGCGTTTTCTTCAGCAGCCCCAAAGTGTCCACGATCATCATTCCTCTGGTGTAAGTCCCCGTCAGTTCAACGCTGACCGGGTACTGATCGCTTTCTGTGATGAACGAGTCATCCATGGCGGCCGCCATGGCGTAGGAGTCACAGGATACAAATCCCGTGCAACCCAGACACTCGTTCTGCGTACTCTCTTTCTTCGCCTCCTCCATACTGTGGCGGAAGATTTTCGCCATGAAGCGAGCCTTGTCGCTGTCCTGACCCAACCAGGTGTCACAAAACTCCTGAAGAAATGAAAATAAGGACAAACTGCAGCATTTACCGGTCATAATAAATAATGTGGCAAAGATGTCATCCTACAAAAAAGTTCCAATTCTCTTTAAGAATTTTGATTTAAAAAAAGTTAATAGATAAATAAAAAAGTGAAAGTAATGAAAAAATAATGAAAAAGAATGTACCAGCAATACTGGAAAAACACTACTGCAGTTTTTATGTTAAATATCTATTTTTTATTTATTCAGAAAGAGCAAAACCTTAAAGGGATACACGCGCCGTTTCGTTGTCAAAAGATATAAATATAAAAAATATAACCGCGGATGTCTGGGGGACAGTGATTCGCCTACATGTTATGAATGCTGGAGTACCATAAATGATAAATTATGAACAGTTTAGTTTGTGCCTTCAAGTCGTTGCCCATAGGAAGAAGTTACTTGGATATAACCTAACGGAATATCTTCAGAACGGCTCCAAATGACACAAAAACAATATGGGTGAGTAGAACATGACGTAATAACGTAAAATCAGGGGCTCAATGGAAAAAAAATGGCGTTTGCCTTTAATGAAGAAGCAGCATGAGGACATCATTGCACCTGGCTTCAATAACAAGCAGCCATAAGCTGCTGCTTAAAATGCACCATTTTACTGATCCTCAGTACGTTTAAGCATCTGTTAAAGCTACTATAACACTCCATTCTGCAGCAGGTAATTCTAATCTAAAAAAATATTAACTAAAAAAAACATCCACTGGTGATTAGCAGATGTGCACTGACTAGAGGCGTTAAAGGTTAATTATGGAGCACAGCTGCCCTGTTTCTGTTATATGTCTGTTTCTGTCCATTTGAGCCCTGCAGAAAGGAGCAGACACTGAGCTTGGTTCTGCTGGAGGTTCCTTCCTGTTAAAAGATAATTTTTCCTCTTCGCTGTCGCTGCATGCATGGTCGATGTGAGAGATTGCTGCAGAGTCGACGACACAATGCAGATTAACGTTCACCGTGGCTACATGCTAATACAGGGGGAGCAAATCCAGCAAAGTCAATGACTTGATGCAGTCAGCTTCGTACTTAAAACCAAAAACTTTTTACCAATCTGACTGTATGATTTTAATGAACTGCTCTATAAAGTGCCTTGAAATGACATATGTTGCAAATTAGTCCTATATAAATAAAATGAATTGCACTGAATACCTTTTGATCACTAGTTATGTGAAATTCTAAGTTAATACAATTTTTTTTTATTAAACCACAATAACAGCTTCTGCCTATAGGCTATAAAACTTCTTCATTAAGCTGAAATGTATCAATACTTCATTGCTGGTAATCACTGTTTTTTACACTTGCATTCCTCTATATACAAATCATCATCTATAACTTTTAGAGATACTTTAAGTAAACATTAATATACAATATTTGTACATTTCCAAAACTCTAAATATCAGTGTCTAGAAAAGCAAGAAACTTGATATAATTTTACTGTGTAGCATGAAAGTTGCACAAGAAACTTTGCAGTTATTCGGTCAAATCAAACCGATCAAATATGATCCAGTAAGAAACAAATTAGACCCACAACCTAATAAGGATCAGTAGATTTTTATTTTTTAAATCATTGAATATGTCGAAAATGAGCCTTACCCATGGCAGCTGGCTGTAGCAGGTAAACTCCCAGCAGGCCAGATAAGTGGGACACTGGAAATCATTCAGCACCACGTACGCAGCCTCTGGATCTGCAGCAAAGTTAAACTCTGCACACACTGTGATGTTTCCTCGAGCTGAAGGACAGAGGAATACAATGTGAGGGCAAATAAGAAAAAAATACTCTCACAGTAAAAAAAACTAAAATAAAAAATGTGTTATTTGGACATGTTTAATCATCTCATGTTTGCAATTAAAATCAGTCAAATGTCGGATCATGTAGGGTATGAATAGTTTTAAGGGCGTTCAGCAGCTTGCATGTGAGATGAAAGGCAGAGCTTCAAACAGCATGCAGGCTCTGAGGGAATGTGGAGAGCTGACTGAGGTCGGACCCTTTGGGCTATATTCAAAGGCGGGTATTATTTTACCCAGCTGTGACCCCGGCCTCTCTGCAGACCCATCCTACAGTTAACTGAGCTACATCAGTGGCCTTTTAAAGGATAATTAATTAGAGAGACTCTCCTCAGTCTGAGCTGTATGTATTTCTATAACGTTTGGAAATATTATCATTATTCAGTGAAAGTTCTATTAATTAAATATTGATATTTTTTTTTTATTTCATGTGATTCCACCACCAAATGCCTGGAACAGTACAGGACGTGTACTGCTCCTACCATGGTACTATATAAAATAGATCAAAGGGAATTGTGTTGATTATGTTATATGAGATATAATCCTTTCTAAACTTTGAATTTGTAACTAAAAGTACAGAAAGTTTGGTTATTTCTGAGCTCACTGGTGGGACAAGATCGCAATGCTATAAAGGTGTCTGACCCTCAAACAGATTTCTCTTATTTTTAACTGTTTTAAACACATACGGTAAATGTTTCTCAGGTAAACATTTAGTCTATTTAGAGAAAACCCATCCGAACCAACCTGTTCATTGTATGAATACATGGCCCTGTATGCAGCTCCTGTTTAAAGTCCTGCAGTATTTTTAACAGTGCGTTTCCCCTGCAGCAGACCTTACAGGAACCTGCATAGTTTGTTTTCAGGGACAGAATTTCCTTTAGGGCTGCAACTAACAATTATTTTGCAAATCAATTAAACTGTCGATTAATAGAAATTAAATCAGGCGAAACTAAAGGTTTTCCTCTTGAGGAGATCTGAATGGATCATATTGAAGAAAAATGTGGGTTTTCTGTATCTCAAATGCAAAATGTTTATATTTTTTTTTTACAATTTTGGTATAATTACTGCTCTGTGAGTTTTCTGTCAGCTAAAGGCATGTTTTAGAGTATCTATACTCCAGTTGATGATTAATCAATTACTAAATTAGTTGACGTTTATTTCAATAATTGATTAATCACGATTAATCCGATTAATTGTTTTGGCCCTAATTTCCTTTGCCATGTTTTCACCATAAAAAATAAAAAAGTCAAATCAGACAAAATGGGTTAGAAACCAACCAGGAGAAATGAAGGTAGGTTTTGGATGAACTCTGAACTTAAGATAGCCATTCCTGCTGGGAAGACGCCAAACATGCACTACTGGCTGATATGATCAATGTTGTGGTTCCTTCATTAACCGTTAATGGTCCTCTGGAGGCCATGTTTACTGAAAACAACACAATTCTTGATTGCAAACACCAATTGACGCCCAGCGCCTTACACTAAATATCAGTGTTTACATAAAAATACATGGATAAGATACGACATTTTGGTTTAAATAATGAAAACTACTGACTTCAGCTTTCCGTTTTTATAGTGTTTATAATCTGATATACAGATTAAAAACCTCCGAGTTAAAAATGATTCAGTTTCAAAGCAGATCAAACGGACAAATTATTCTTTAAAATAGCTTTATGTAATCCAACAGAAGCTCTGTTGTTTCCAGTATCTGGTATCAGAGCAGTTAGTTTAAAATCCATTTTATGATCACATCTCCCCAGTTTGAAGGGAAATCCAGCGGTCTTTACACCAAATCTGCAGTAAAAAGATCAATTTTTTGGTCTTTTTTTCATTATTTTAAACCTCATTCTGGACATCTCTGCTGCTTAGGTCGGTGATCAATGTGAAGCAGCGTTCCTACAGCCAGATAACCTGTTCAGATTCAGAGGCATGACTTTCACACTCCATAATGGAAATGTACATTGATAAAGAGGTGTTGTCCTGATGTGTTGCCATCTGAAATCTTTTAGCCTACCCCATATTGTTGGACAGGTCCTATATAATTTGATTTTTCTTATAAATGTCTGGCAGTTGTCTATCTTGGTGTTGCTTCAGATAGTTATTAAAAATATTCTGCTAATCGTATTTCATGATTCAGAATACGGGGCTGGAATTTATCCTAATGAACTAAATTATCCATTCAAACTGCTCTTTATATTTTCTCCTCTTCAGATTCAAATTTGTTTGATAATCCAAAATACTGAGGTGGGCCAAATAATTCAAAAGCACAAAAATCTGAATGTACAAATACCGTATTTTCACGACCATAAGGCGCACAGTACTAAAAGGCGAAGTCTCAGTTTTGTGTGCCATTTCTGTATTTAACACACACATAAGGCGCACCGGACTATAGGGCGCGTTTTTTATATACAGGTACATGTCCTCTACTACCTTTAAATAGCTCTACTGCGTATTAAAAATACAGCGGGGGCAAAACTGAGTATGACTGTGCTTTATTCATGTATTTATTACAAAGTATTAATCAAACCTGGGAGCTGGCCGTGAGACAGACACATCGCAGATGACAGCGCTGTGATCACTCCTAAATTAACTTAAAATCCTGAAACCTGCCGACAGAATATGTTCGCTTTTATTACCGGTATCCTGGTGCCTGCAGTTTAAATTATTTAGATGAAAAACACCTGCCAGCAGCCGCGGTGAACCCGGAGGCTGCCCAGCCTAGAGGCTGCTGATGAAGGGATTTCTACTGTCGGCGCACCGCTGGTATGTGGCGGTCTGAGCGCCTCCGACAGAAATAGATAATCTGGATGAACTGACTGCAATTATTAAGTTTTCAGGTGGACTTTCTCACTTAAAAACATATTAAAACTACTTTATTCCCACTGATCACAGCAAATATAGCTGCAAGATTTAGATTATTTAGATGAAAAAACACCTGCCAGCCGCCGCGGTGAAGAGGAGGAGACGCGCCCAGAGGCTGCTGTTGAATTAAGTTTTCAGGTAGAAAAATAGACCGGGAGCAAAACTGAGTATGTTTGTGCTTTATTCATGTATTTATTACAAAGTGTTAATCAAACCCATCAAAGTCATCATCCTCTGTTTCTAAATTAAACAGCTGCGCTAAATCAGACATGCCAATTTCCCATTCTTCGCTGTCAGAGTCACTTTCCGTGCAGCGCGGCTCCTCAGAAATAATGCCGGCTTTTGCGAAAGCTTGAACAACAGAGCCAGCAGACACGTTAGTCCAAGCATCTACAATCCATCCGCAAACGGTGGCGTAACTTGCCCGGCGCTGCCTTCCACTTATCCTGAAACTGTGATCTCAGTCTGTCATCCATCACTCCCACGCCGCTCGCAGCCTTACTTTGAACGGCCGGTTCACACCGATGTCGAGCGGTGGAAGTTCCTTTGTCAGACCCCCGAGATAACGGCGAGCACAGCGTTTATTTTTTTTCACCATGTTTTTCACATCAGCTGTGAGATGGGCACGCATGGAGTCACATATTAAAAGCGATGGTGATGCGTGGAAAAAACCACCTGGTCTCCTCACATACACCTGCCTCAGCCACGCTTTCATCATCTCCTCATCCATCCAGCCCTTTCATTTGCTTTAATATCATATGTCATCAGAGCGATGTGTCTGTCTCGCTGTCAGCTCCCAGATCAGCTTCTCTGATTCGTTGATGCGGCGCTTCCAGCAGCAAAACTTCAATTTTTTTCCATCTCGAGCAGCAGCAACGCGTTGGGGGCGCGCTCCCGACTCGCTGCGCCTGCTGCTCAAAACGCGCTGCGGGACCTTTTGCTGCGTCTATACGCTCGTCAACCGTTGACTTTGCATGTAAACTCGCTGCTTCTGCTGCTTCTGCTGCACCTGCTGCGTCCGGTTCACAGCGAGCACAGCATTAATTTGTTTCACCATGTTTTTCACATCAGCTGTGAGATGGGCACGCATGAAGTCAGATTAACAGCGATGGTGTGGTGATGAGTGAAAAAAAAAACCCCTTTTCTCCTTACATTCAGCCACTCTTTCATCATCTCCTCAATGAGGTGGTCTCAAAAGTCGCAGTTGCAACACACATAGGGCGCACCGCACCAAAGGGCGCACCGCACATTTTGAGGGGAAAAAAAGACGTTTATGTGCGCCTTATAGTCGTGAAAATACGGTACTTTTTTTTTTATGGTTCTGTAGTTTAGTAAGTGAGAGATATTATATGGGAGTCTTTTTACTTCGAATAGAAATATCTTCTATCTGTGTCCCTTTTTCTTTAGTAAAGATCCCCTCCTTTAATCTAGAAGCTATCTGTGTTTCACTCACACTCCGTGTTCCCCCCCATGATGTAGAGCCCTTTGAGTTTGCCCGGCAGAGATGGATCCATCCTCACAGCCAGAGCCAAGTTGGTGAGGGGTGCCGTGGCAACCAGACACACCTGGGAGACGCACACAGATTAAGCATTATGCAGAAAAGACTTCAGTACAGTTCAGCCCTTCTCCATGTCTCACCTCTCCGGGATTCTCGTTGACAATTCTGATCAAAGCCGACACAGCGTTCTCTTCCTGAATCAGGTCCAGACCAGGAGCACCGGGGTCAGGCGCGTCTCCTAGGCCATCCTCACCGTGGAAGTTCCCTCCACTGAGGCTGTTCCCAAGGATGGGCTTATCAGCACCTTTAAACACTGGAATCTAGACAACGAAACAAATAGCATGATTCAATAGATCAAGTCGACCACATGAAACTCTGCTGTGATGCAATATCATTTCTAAACCATACCACATAGTTTGACAGCAAAGACTTTGCTAATAAGGAACTTTTTAGGAAATGTCCTCAGATTAACACAGGGTCACATTTTAGTGACTTTAAACAAACAGAAAAGTTCTGAGAAGTTCAGAAGTTTTCCCACAATGTTTGCAGAAAGCTCCGCCTCTGGACTTTTTGGATCTTTTTAGTTCCCCATGTGACAACTACAGGCATTCTACACTAATAAAAAAAAAAAAACAGCTTAGTTTGCAAAAAAAAACAAAAAAAAAAAAAACAGCTAGCATCTTTTTGTTCTTACACTTTGTCATATTTTAACCCCTTTTTAGGTGCCGGATCAAATTGGGGAAGGATTTCAGAGTGTTTAGAACCACTGTTAACTTCGCAGCTGACAGCAGTTTGCCACAAAATAAAGGCTTTTCTCAATTTTTCTTTACAAAACAATGTCAGCTCAGAAAAAGACAGAGGGCATGTATGAACAGCAGTTTACAGCAGATTTTGAATTAGATGTCGATTTATGCTTTTACCGGGTCAAACTGACTAATAAATATGCTTTGATATAAACCCTTAATCGTACCTCTGCTGGTAAGTTTCAGGTCGTTTTCATACTGAATGGTGATTAGCCTCCCACAGAGTCCAGGCTTTCTATATTTTCCAGGATTTTAACTCCATGTGGAAGAAAATCATCCTCACAGGGTGATACTGCCACAACTATGTAGCTGTATCAACTTGCTGCATATAGCACAACATCTTTATTTCAATTGCTTGCGGCTTTTAAACATTTTTTATGGCCTATTTCTTCCATTTAAACCAGATTTATATAAACACATATACATATATATAATAATAATAGTAATCCTAATACTCGTATTAACAACAATCATTATCGTCTTCCTCTCAGCATGCCAAGACCCTTGATGTCACATGACAAAATTCATCATCCTGAAAGTTTAATGTGTATAAGTCCTCTCTACTGTTTAACATACTGACTGCTCAGTAAGGAAGTTGTGCAATAACGACATGTACAGAATGAACACAACTCATCCTCTAAACCAGGGGCACTTGTTGTCCACCTCTTTCTCTAAATCACGAGACTTGAGGAACTCATTGTTAGGCAGATAAATTAAAACATGCTGACTTTTCACATGAGGCCAATAAATGCTAACACAATAAGGAAGAACACTATGAAGGACAATTCAGAAATGTAACACTTTAAATGCAGATCTGAATTTCTAGAAGCAAATATCTAACCTTCTAAAGTTTGTTTTTATTTAACAGTACAAACTAAGATACGTCTTGCAGCTAAAAAAAAGCTGGTATGGGCAGCTCTGGTGCGCCGGATAAAGTTCAGATGTTAACAAGAGTTTAATGTAAGAGAACAGCAGAGCAGCTTCTCAAATTATTTATTCCTCTATTCCTTTGTTAAAATGCAATCTTAAAGTAGTTATTCTGCCACTAATTTTACTTAAGTCTATCATGTTGAGTTTTAGCACACAGATTTCTGTTTACCATCTACATAAAAAGAAAGACTGAACATTTCATTCAAAGAATTTCTGGACCCACCTCCAATTTTCTGCAGGCCTGAAGAACCCGCAGCACATTCTTGCACACGTTTTCCACTGTGGTGTTTCCGTGCACGCAGGTGATGCCCAGGATCTGTACATTGGGGTCCCCCAAGGCCAGCATAATGGCCTGAGCATCGTCTACACCACAGTCCACATCCAGCAGCAGCTTTTTAGTCATTTTGACCCCTGTAATCCATAGAAGCAACACATTTTGAATTGAATTTACTTCCAGAGCCAAAGTGTTAAATATTTTACCTTTTTCCAGACAATTCTGAAGGCCTTGTAGTTTCTTCTCCTTGCTGCTCTGCTCTGCCTCCGTGTGAGGCGTCCCTCTCTTCCTTTTATGCAGGGATGACATCAGACGTGAATGGGTTTTTCCCTGTGTGAGCAAGAAATGTGAGCAGAAGAAAAAACGTGAGCATTGTAAATTGAGTAAGAGAAGTGCAGTGAACCCTGACCAAACGTACCACCTGCTGAGTGAGGATGCGGTAGCAGGGCGCTCTCACAGGATGGAAAGAAAAACTGGAACAAGAGAAGGAAATATGAAAGGAGAGGTAGATCTATTCATTAAGAATCTAATAAAATTAATGGGAAAAAAATTATTTATCTCTAGTTTTACATTTCAGATATAAATAAGGGGACTGATTTTTGCATTTTGTCATTTTCCATATGGCTTAAAATCTATGACCAGGTCCTTACAGAGCCATACAAATTGATAGGAATCATTGAGCTCTTTCAGATTTTGTTACCTCCCTACATCGGCAAACTTTAACAATAAGAAGGTGAACTTTAACCCACTTCTCTATGCTTTAACAGTCTTTAACAGGCTCTTTTTTGTAGGCCCGTTTAACTTTGAATCTATCAATTTTCCCTTCCCATATAGCTGTCCCAGATAAAGAAAATTATCCTCCCAGCATGATGCTCCCACCGTCGTGTTTCACAGCAAAAATGATGTGCTTAATATAATCTCCGGAGTTTTTCCTCCATCCGTCTTGTGTCCTTTGTATGGCTTTGCTGTCTTCTTAATCACTATAAAGACGTGGAATATAGCCAGTTCAGAATGACACCTTCTTCAGAACGGGTCCATCTAAAGATTAGGTGATTTGCTATGGATTTTATCTGACTACATGGGTCGGTATGGAAATGCATGCCATAGCTTTCAGTGTATTTAAAAACCGTCCCTATCCATTTCATCAATATTCTCTGTTTTATAGGTATAGTGGAGGATGTTCTTTATCTGGGTGGATCATCAAAATAAGTGGTCCTCCTAATTGTCAATCATTCTGGTGATATGTTTATGCAAGGCCGTCCTACGTGCTTGTCCCCATTTGCACTACCGGTGGTGAGTCTAACATAGTGGGAAAATAAAAAGCTTATATGAAAATGCAAACAGAAACTTTTAAACAGAGCGTGCATGAAGAGAAATCGGCTCATGCATGTTCCCTCGCGGGAGCGGGTACAGGGTCGTGCATGTGCCTTTTTTTTTCGTTAAGTGGAGAGGGCGGTTGTTTTTTTAAAAATCGCGAAGATCCTCCACTATACCTTTAATATATCCCAAAAAACTGCAGACTAAACCAGTTAGGTTTGTGGGTGGAATTTGCTAATTTTAGGAGTGGTTTCAAAACCTTTTGCAAGGTAATACAACTAACTAAGACCTTAAATATTAAAACCAAAATAAAATAAACAAAAGAACTGATTTTTCAATTTGCCATACTTTTATTTCTAAATCAGGGTAACTATGTCTTCCTTGGCGAGAAATATTTATATCATTATCAATATAAAATCTGAACAATCACAGTTGAATGAAATTCAATGAAAGCTAATTTTCCAAAATACTGGAAGCAACAATTCCAGGTCTAGGAAATTGACTTTTTATGCATTAAAGCAAAAGAACTTCTTATTTAAAGGAAATAAATACATTAAGATGTTCATAATGACATTACAAATCTTAATATTAATCAACATTTGAAAATTAATGAATGTTTAACATAGAATGCAGTCAATCTTGACTGAAACTAAAGAAATGTTTATATTCTTGTTGTGAAGTATTTACTTTATTTTAAATGTATGTAATTATGTTGAAGAATATAATTTATTTTATATGTCTTTTAGTTTGAGATTTTTTTCTTCCTAGTGAGCATAAATACTGTTATTTCTGTTAGAGACAGAATTATCTTTCTTTCCTTAAAATGAACCTAAAATAAATCCATTTGCAGCCCAAATCATGAGAAAAACAGAAATCTGTTTACAGATTAAAACAAAAAAACAAGCAAAAGACATGTGCAAATAGAACCTATAAATAAATATAAAGACTTTGAGCAAAGACCATAATCTTATGGTGATAAGGTGTGCATTTATAAAAACACGAATTTACAGAGGGAGAGATGAGAAGAATGATGCTAAATAAAGCAGCTTAAACTATAACAGCTGTGCTGATAATATAAAACTGAATGAAATAAAAAATTAAGCAGGCACTAAACTAATAATATCAAGAAGACAATTGGCGGGAGTTTCCAAATTAACGGGCTGTACAGTAAAGTCAATCATATCTTGAATCAAAAAACAAAAACAAAAAACAGTGGATTAGGTTAGAGAAAAAAAGCCAGTGGTCCCTATAAATTAAAGGATTTATTAAATGAGAGCCACCGTTATGCTGAAACCCTCAGGCTTTGCAGCTCAGTCTCCAGCAGACTAAAGATGTTAAACAGTAAAACGGAAAGTGAAACAGTTTCCGCCATTACTTTCTTTCCTTTCTGTAATCAGCATAATGTATAATAAAGTCTCACCATTCCACAGAGATGCTGACAATATGAGAGGTTGCCAATGTTAAAATCCTATTAAATAACATTTATCAATCACTATAGGAAAAAAAATCCATTTAGCAGCTGTCGTTAACGTAATTTGTTTCCGGGTCGAAGATTTTCTGCTTCCTTTGCGTTTCCCGCCAGTCAGCTGCTGCCATCTTCTGGAGATTTGCATTTTTGTTTCTCTCACCGACTGTTTTGTTTCCGTTAACGTGATGTAAGGCAGTGTTTTTTTTAACACTGGTCCTCAGGGCACACTGCCCTGCATGTTTTAGATGTTTCCCAGCTTCCACACACTTGTTATGAATTGATAGCAGATTATTTTTGCTGAACTGCAATCATCTGAATCAGGTGTGCTGAAGCTCAGAAACATCCAAAACATGCAGAGCAGTGTGCCTTGAGGACCAGGGTTGACAAAACACTGATGTTAGGAACTGTCTTGTTGCAGAATGAGGCTGTCTTTTTTAAGTTATTTATTTATTTTTCAGTTTTGTATGTTTGATTGAGTGGGAAATTACTGCCTGTTATTTATTAATTAATTTCTGTTGCCTTGCAATAGTTAAGTTGATCTCCTGTATATATGTTGTCTTCTCTTTTTTTTATGTAAGAAAGAAAAGTGGAGATTCCTATGGAAGCCCGTTTTATGAAGGCCGGAGAAACGTATCTCATTATAATGACATAGTATCTCATTATAATAAGATAGTATACACAGGCTCAGCACATTTGGAGACTGTGGTAGTTGAACCCCCATTTCAAATTGGTTCAGTCCAGTTTTGACTATAGATGCTAATTCAATATAATGGCCCAATATAATTGCCCAAATAGTATTTAATTATAATGAGATACTATCTCATTATATTGAGATAGTATTTAATTATATTGAGATACTATCTCATTATATTGAGTTACTATCTCATTATAGTGAGATATTTATTTTTTTCTTTACAGAGACGCGGGAACAGGCTTCCATAGCTTCCTACTAGATTCCTACTTGAAAATGTAAATAAATAATTCTTTGGTCAATATAAAAAAAAAAAAAAAAAATTATCTTCTTCTTCTTCTTGGGTTTATTGGCGTTAGGCAAAAAACATTTAGTAGCATTACCGCCACTTACTGGTATGGTGTGTGGTTTGTGATGGACTATCTACTTAATAATCATATAAATAATTTCTAAGGGAAAAAACAAAACTGCATACTTATACATAACTTTACATTCTACCCGTCTATATTATACACACATTCACCCTCTCTATACTCAAATTCTATTAAATAATTTAGTTTTCTTTAAAAATCTAATAATTATTTGTATATGTTTATTCCCCAAATTCTTCCTCAAAATATCTAGTAAATTTATCTTTTTATTAATGCAATCAAACTCATTCCTCATATATCTTCTCGCGCTTTCATATTTATGACATTCCAGTATAACAAGTTCTATTGTTTAATATTTTCCACAGTCACATTTGCCAGTACAGTATTATGCTTTTGAATTTTGAAAAGTGTATAATTGAGTCCTGTTTGCCCAAATTTTAACCTTATCACTCTTTGCTTTATTTCATTCTACATTTCTTCTTTTTCCTACCAACTTCTGAATTTTATAAAATCATCTTCTTGTCTTTTCTTCACCCCGCCTTTATTGCCATTTTTCCATCAGTTTTTCTTTAATGATATTTTTCCCTCTGATTTACATGTTTTAACTGAATTCTTACTTTAATCTCAGAATTCCGACTTTTTTCTCAGAATTCTGACTTTTTTCCCATATTAAACTGAAATAGAATTTAAAAATCTGATAACTTTTTATTTTTATTTTTTCAGTGGTCCTAATCCTCTTCCATAAACTGGTGATAGGCTCCACCCATAATCATAATATAAGAAAAAAAGTCAGAATTCTGAGATTAAAGTCAGAATCCTAATCCTCTTCCGCACTTCGTTTACACAAAGACCCATAAAGTGTATAATTAAGTCCTGTTTGCCCAAAGTTTAACCTTTTCACTCTTTGCTCCTATTTCATATTCCATTTCTTCTTTTTTCTAGCATCTTCTGAATTTTATAAAATCATCTTCCTGTTTTTTTTTCACCCCACCTTTATTGCCATTTTCCATCAGTTTTTCTTTAATAAACGTTCATTTTTACTGCTAAGCTGCTGCTCATTCACTGTCAGAAAACTGTTTGTATCTAAATTTCGTATATATACACTCTGTGTCTACGAAATGACAATAAAGTTTGTCTTATTCTAAATAATAAAGATATTTCTGATAAATGTCTACTTATTGTCCAGGTAGAGGTGGATACTTTGTTTATTTTATACTACCTGACTTATATATATTATATTATATTATATTATATTATATTATATTATATTATATTATATTATATTATATTATATTATATTATATTATATTATATTATATTATATTATATTATATTATATTATATTATATAAAATAAAAAAAAGCTTTATATTCTGAGTTGGCACACCATTTTTTATGTCCACTTCGACTTTGAAAAATCATTGATCATCATCTGCTAATATGTTTTTTTTTTTAAAGCAGACAGATGTAATATGGTCTTTTGTTGAGTTGTTGGATTAAAGGTTTTTAAAACATCAAACCTGCGTTCATTTTTTCTCTAAGGTTTACAACCATGTATCATTTTCTTTCCACCTCACAGATATACGGCTCCTTATGTTGGTGATCATAACTGATTTGATAGAGTATAATATTTTAAAATCAATGTATAAGGTACATAAAAAAAAAGTTCAACCAAACAATATTTCAAAGCAGATTTTCTAAAAGAAAAAGTGAGTATAACTTAAAAGGAATAGATACATAAAAAAAAAACTAGTTAAAGCAAGCTGAAAGCTATTCCTTCTAATAGAAACTTGACAGTCATTTTGATTAATCAATATGACAGTGGATAGGCTGATGTATGGCGCTTTCGATTTTCATTTTACTTTATAGAAATAGATTCTAGTTGGCTTTATAGCCAATGAATGGAGAGGTGAAGGATATTTAAGATGAATTAGAGGAAGCTTAGAGTAAATACACGTGGAACAGAGGACATGGAGCTTAGGCAGGGAAACATGCAGAGAGAGTCCATGAAGGTAACGGAAGAATCTAGCAAAGAACAATGAGAACATGTGAGTATATGTGAGTTAATCAGAGAGGGAAAGAGGAGCAGCTGAGGTAGGTCACAGAACAGCTGAAGGAAAGTGGCTAATTAACAAAGCAGAGCTTTAAATAAACATAAAAAAAAAACAATTGAAGTATCTTACAGAAAGTCAACAGGAAAAAAAGTAAGTGTAAAAAAAAACATTAAAATAAAATTAGAAATGTAAACAAAAATACACTATTTTAGAAATACCTATTTAACTGACATTAGGAAAGATAATTGAATAAATGTTAGAAAACCCAAATGGTAAAAACAAACAACAGAATTTGGCAAGAATTGTTTGAACACAATCAACAAGAGGTAATGAAGAAGATATAAACATATATAAAAAAGTATTATCTTAGTAGGCCATGCTGTCAGAGAGAAAACCTTCACATTATTTACAAACAGATTCACAGCCAATTATTCCTATTTCATTAAAACTTTACATATAAAAGCTAAAACCCCAAAAGGTCAAATATTGAGTCCCACTCAGCTGGCTTCAACAGTCTTTTATTTATTATTCAGTTTTAATCCATTCTCTGTTAGTGAAGCACTATTATGATAAGGTCAAATGCCAGTCAGTAACAACTGAACATACTCTTAATGAAGAAAAATAAACCAACAAGTATATGCAATCCAAAACATAATAAAACATGTAAACAAATATTGAAGGTCAAAGATAAGAAACAAGACTATAATTGGGGCTAGTCATAATCCAGACTAAAGCAGTGCTACTGTGAGTAATCTGAACAGTAAAACCCATGCAGGATTATTTATTTTTTTATGTTTTTCTCATTCTTTCTCCATGTAAGTTGAATTAAGTAATTTTTAATCTCATTTCAATCAAAATATCAGTATCTTTAACCTAAGATGGAATAATAGTAACTGACTTTTTTATGAAAATAGAAGACTGTTTTCAGGACCACCTGGATAAATGTGTACTTATTGTTAAAATTAATTAGTGATTTTATTAGAGCCCTACGACAGAGCATCAAAATTAAGAAAATAAATTCTTCCTCCAGCCAAAGTCCCGGAGAAGGTTTCCGACAGGTTGCAGCTAACACTGAACCTGATGCTCTTTCCTGTTGCAGATTTCTGTAAAACAGATATAAACTAACAAAATACTGTGGAACGTAGGCATAAAATTTTTTACACCAATCAGTCAAGTTTTTGTTTTGTTCATGACATTTGATTTAGCCAACCAGTAACAAATTTCACTAGAATATAAAAACAATTTATTCAGCTTCTATTTCTCTATTCCCTCGTAGGCAATCTATTGTACTCTGTGAATATCGATCCCAAATAATGTAATACCCCAAAATGTTTGGACTAGAATATATAGTAAGATGCTTTTTAGGCTTAAAAATGTTATAATAACTAAATCTAGTGTAATGCACGGAAGCTAGGGCAACCCCAATCAGGATGTAGGTAACTGTAAGGAGGTACAGTAGAAGGCAAAATCCAAAAGCACAAAGTTAAAGATGAAACACGTAAAATAAAAAAAAGAGCAGCGTAACAATTTTATCAAACATTAATTAGGATGTAAAACATGTAGTTTGTATCTAGATTTGAACAGAAATGTTCAATTACCAAGTAAAACATCTTTGAAAAGATGTAACTGTATGTCCAAAAAACCTGAAGTGTAAATTAAATGTTGAAAAAATATATGCATGAAGAGGTCTAAATGTGGCTAAACAATTGTTTGGGTCAGGGAAACAGTCTTAGATAACGAAATGTTGGCGGGTTTATGTTTGATTTGGAAATTTTACCTAAAAAAGGAAAAGTGTCAACATTTTCCAAGAAACTTGCCAATATTTTATAGCATAAAAAAAGGTGTCCACTGACATCCAGTGTTTGTTGGGAAAGTGATGCTATGCAAAAGTATATCAAATCCTTTCACTTTGCCTTCTGCACTTACTCAGTAAAAAGATGAAATCTACAAGAATCT